GTGTGTGTGTGTGTGTGTGTGTGTGTGTGTGTGTGTGTGTGTGTGTGTGTGTGGTGTGTGTGTGTGTGTGGTGTGTGTGTGGTGTGGGTGTGTGTGTGTGTGTGACTGCGAGTGACAATTTGTAAGCAGGTCGCCACCTGCAGTTTGGTTCAATCCAACTGCAATGTCCCTGCAAGAGCTCTTTGTCCGGGCACCCCATCTTTCTGCTCTCAGGTGATCTCAGGTGCTTAGAATGGACATGAGGGCCCTGAAAATATCCACTTCAAGCGCTCCGTTGCTTTCAGCGCTCCTCGATCACAGGAATGGCAATGGTCCCCCAGCTGTCACCAGCGATGACCGTCCTTGGGTCTCAAGCCAGTCAGCCTCCCGTTTGGGCGAAACAAAAGCTGAAGCCTCTCGAGCAACTGGACCAACAGCCTGCTTGAAGCAAGCCACTTGAAGAGGAGCAGGTTGGCGTCCATCACCTGAGCCATGGGGGAAACCCACATGGCTGTCGTATCCTGGTGTAATGATTGTGACCCATACCCAGCTTGCCCAACCAAGCCATTCCCAACACCCAAACCTTCGCCACAAGCGGCGGAGGAGGCCGCGCGCAAGCATTGCTCGCAGTCCATGAAGACGTGGGTCTCCTCGTGCAGCTTGAGAATGAGCCTCGGGCTCGCTCCGTCCATTCGCTCCATCACGGATGGCGGCAAAGCCGCGAAGCTGTCGCAAGGAACAGAAATAACCACAGCCCAGGGGCGGTTGCACGAGATCGACCAGCAGCATGGCCCAAATCGTCCTGAGAAGGGGGCAGTCAGTTCGCTGAGAGTTCGTCTCAGCCGCCCGTCAGCCAAGCGTCATGACCATAAAGCAGAAAATGAAGGACCAGCACAGAGTCCGCATGCACGTCGTGGCCATGGTCAGGAGCTTTCGCAGCCTTGGGTCCGCTTTTGGGCGCAATAGAAGCACAGTTCTCCGTTGCACATCTGAAGCGGCACTCATTTTCTTGCGACCCCAACAGAGAAACAACACACATAACTTGTGCTTCCCCCAGGCAAAGCAACCAAGGAAGCACCAGGACCCAACTCCAGGAAAGAGACAAAGGGAAGAACAACATGAGCACACACAACTATCCCTTGAGTTGGAGGCAACCTCTCGAGGCAACAACATCCACATCCCCATGAGTTTTGGGCACCAACTATTCTCATGCGAGTCGCAATCAAAACCCGGTAGCAAAATGGTCGTAACCCCAGCACCACGTGAACAAATTATGCAGGCGGATATCCGCAGCTATGGTTGGGATTGTCCCTGAAGCTTCATCTACCCGGGTTTTGAGCACGCTCATGAGGAGTCAAAACGTCGCAAACGACCAAACCTCCCCCATTCGCTGAAGCGGCTCTTTGAGGTAGCTGAAGCGCCGGAAGAGCTTCAGCAGCCCTGATCGCGACCAAAAACAACACCAAAAAGGCTACAAGTATCTAAGAAAAACACGTGAAGGAAGCTCTGGAAGACGAATGCCACAGACCAACAAAAACAAATTGTTTGGGCCAACTTCTCAAGAATGGAGATGGTTTCTTGGAAGGCAGCTTCATAGGCAATTGGTATGCCCCATTTCCCCCAAGGGTGGTGTCTAGCTGTTTCTCAGACTGGTCTAGGGGACGAACACGTCTGCACAGGAGACATGACCAGGGGAGTCAGAAAGAACCGGTTTCCGGTTTGTGGCATCTTCCGAGGCTCGGATGATGCGCGCAATGCGAAACATGCGCAGCAGGTTGAAGTTTTCGATCATCAGGCCATCCATGACCCTGGACATCAGCAGCTCTGCCTGGGTACGTCTCATGAAGACTTCGCAGGGCTGTGGGCTTTTTAGCTTAGTTGGTTTAGTGGGTGTCCATTTAGCTCACTAAAAGTGAAACATCCACGTCTGTGATTTAACCGAATGGGCTAACTCCCCATCAGGGGAGATTCCCAAAAGTATCACAGAAGTGGTTGGATCAACCCCGAGAGATCCCACCCTGGGACTGAGTTGGACAAGGTGCAATACCGCAAAGGATGATCAGGAGGTCGACCCTCAGCCAACACTCTACGGATGGCACGCACGTCTCTTCCGCTCATTTCAGGCCCTCTCGTATTCCCCCCCACAGCACACTTGGGCGATAGATTTGACTCTTGGAACGGCAAATCGATTTGTCAGGGAGTGAGATCCAAAAAACACCTCGTCACATCCGGGCCAGCCATGCACAGCTTGGGCGCACTAGCATCTTGTCCCTCAGCACGCGCAGGCCCTTCACATAACACCACATGCAGTACTCCAGCGAGTACCTCAGACACCAAATCCGGATTGATAGAAGCAACGCTTCTCAACTTCCGCGGGGCTTGCATGTGCACCTTTTGCACTGAAAACCTCGCGCAAATATTTGCATCCTTGCCACGCTAGGAGGCAAAGGTCCTTGGATCGATGCAATGGTCTGCCACTTGCGCATTATCCACCAAAGCAGTCTTTCGGGAGGTGCACAACTTCGCCGTCCAATCGTTTCTCACCTGCGTTACACCTCAAATACTTGTTTACAAGCACCTCCTTAGCATTCTGTTGGCGATTTCATCTAGAAAAACTGTCCCACCCACAAAAAAAAAGCAGCCACCCACCATGAAGGAAAGCACATGGCACCACCCTCTTCTACGACCCTTCGCTGCGCAAAATTCCCGGAAGCTCCGAAGCTTATCAAGGGCCTAATAAGGGCTCATCAAACGTTTCATGGCCGTTGTCTTGGTTGCTGGAACCAATGCAATCATGTGTGGCTGCCATTGTCCAAGGTCCAAAAGGTCTGAGATGGAATTTGGAAAAATCTCATCAAACCTCGACCATTTGCTCACCAGCGGCTCGGAAGGAAACGAAGCGCAGCCGAGGCGCCATGGCCCAGGAGAGCCAGTCCGGCTCTTCGAAGCCCGCGGCCCGGCGGTCGATGTCCGCGCAGGAGAGGTAGGCATCGAACCTGCGCTCCGGGCGGGAAGCAGCGGGACAAGGCGGCAAACCAAGGATTCCGGATCGGAGACCGAGGATTTTGGTGGAAGATGTCGATGGCCATGGGATTTTTTCCATCCCCAAAAATATCAAAAGACAAGGACCACACAAGGAAGAAAGGCTGAGGCCCCCAGCAGCGTGAGGAGGCCGAGGCAGTTGCCGGTGATGGGGTGCCGCAGCACCGCCGACACGTAGCGCTTGGGGCCTCGCTCGGCCTCCACCAGCACCGTGTGGGCCTTCGACAGGATGAACTCCGAGCCCAAGGTGATCGGACTGGTCACTCCTCAGACGTGGGGGGAACGTCGCTCCGAGTCCGGTCGGGCTGCCAGGGGGAAAGGGCCCAGAACCAACTTGACGAGATGAAAAGGGGCGCGCGCGATCTAGGATGCGTTTTTGGTACGTGTTCCGGCTTCTTCTACGGATCTTTGCCGAGCATCTCTTGGAGCTGGTGCTGTTGCCTCAGCAAGTGACTGTGAAGATACTGTGAAGCACAAAGGCTTCGTCTCCAGCTTTCGGCCCAAAACCGGCCGTGAAACCGAGGCCACACCTGCCCCCTGCGAAAGGCGCTTTGCTGCGCACAAAAGTTGAGCTAAGTTGCGATTGTTCCAGTCCTTAGCACGTCGACAAATTCCCATGCCACAGCATCGTTGCGCCAAGCGCCGCGCGCCGGAGTGTTGAGAGCCCTCTGAGTCGTCACCTGAAAAACGGTGGACTTTTCCGTCCCCGAATTCAGCGGGGGACGCACGGAAACTCCAACATCTCCATAGCCAAAACCCACAAGGAACACGGGGGATTCGTTGATTTGGAGCTCTTCCCAGGAGTTTCTCCCAACGCATTCCAGGCCCAAGCCATGCTGGGCTGACCCTCTGTGCTAGGCAGCCCATCATCTTCCTGCGCGGAAGCGTGGAACGTTCAAGGGATCCTTTTGTAAGTCTTGTTTACATGGGTGCTTCAGGGAACCTCTCCAGCCAAATTCCTGCTTTTCCCTCACCAAAAAAAACAAAATATGTACCACCCAAGACATCTTTGAGGGGCTGGGCGAGCAAAATGTGACTTGACGTCGCCGAAGCTGACGCATGCCCGCCTTCATGCTGAGTTTTGGCGACCCAGACATCTGTAATGCGAGCCAGCCCCGGCGTCTGTCAACTTGTCTCTGCTTTGTTCGCTTTTGGCTCTTGCCCCACAAGACCTGGGGATCTCTCCGGAAACATGCCTTTTCTGGAAGATGTCTTCGGGCTTGACAGCAGCCACGGCCCCCTTCGGGGGGGGAAGGAGCTGAAATGCTGCGTCCAATCGACCAATCGGTCAAAATCAGTCCGATCCAATGGGTCAAGGCATGTGAAGGCCCAGCGGCCTTGTTCCTCACCTGCGGTCCGATGCCTCCGAATTAGAATCCGCATGCGGGCGGCCGCCTAACCTAATCGCCTAGAGAGCAAGCGCATCCTGACTCTGGCACACCGCGCGAGTCATAGGCAGGTTTCTTGCTTAGTGCCGGAAGCACTTCGAGATGCATTGGCTGCACGCTCCCCCCAGCCGTCGCTAGACTGGGGCATGAGATTGGAGTGCTTGAACAATGATGAGATCGGGGCGAGCACGCAGCAGCCTTCACCAGTGCTAGTCTTTCTCGATCTTCCTGCGGTCCTGTGCACAAACGGGCAAACGGCTGGCTGGAGTGCAATTTTTGGCATCTCCCGCCTCATCGCCGATGATTCGGCACGTGATCTTGCGGCCAGACCTGAGACATGGCAATCTCAGGCCCGTCTGACGGCTGGGTCCGTCTGAGGAATCTGGCAGGTCAGATCCTCAGGCGGATCAGTCAGCCACTTGCCACACGCGCCTGGGGCGTCGCGGCCGCTTGCTGGCAAAGCGACCGTCCAGCTTCTCCGCCACGGCGTCTGCCTGTCGGAGCCCAATGCCCTGCCGTCATCTGGTCCGCGCCCCGCCTCCTTCTGGTTGCCCAAGCGCGCCAAGGCCACAGGCGGGCGGTGGTTCGGGTACACCTACCGCAAAGCGCGAGAGCGCGAGCCACCGTCTCGGCTCGCAGTTCCGGGGCGGCCGCTTTTCCGCCCAGGATGTGCCCTGAGCAAAACTGCACAATCGGCAATGGGTTCAGCTTGTCTGTCCCCACCTCCGGCTTGCGTCACCAGTCGCCGCATGCAGCCTAAGACTCGGAGCCCAACTTGCCCCCCCCAGCCTCCCCCCGGCCGCGTCCGCATGAGCCAAGCCCTCCGCACCTTTTCCGAGCCGTGCAGCCAGCGCAGCGCTAAGCAGTGCCACCAAACACATGCTTGGCTTTGCCTGCCCAACAGCAGGCCGCAAGCTGTGTGCGACATTAATTTGCGCCCCCCCCCCCCCCCGGCAACATGAAACTTGAAGCCTTCGCTTCCTGAACACGGCTTTGCCGCTCCAGTTCTGGGACGTGCTGCATCTGGCGAGAGGTGCACGCTGCCTTCAAACGGACTCTGCACTCAGAAACTCCTGCAAAAGGTTCTGCCACCTCTTTTCTGTGCCTACCGCCAAGCTGGCAGCCTCACTGGGGGGTCAGAAGAAAATCATCTTGTTCGTTTCTTCTTTTCTTTTTTTTTTTTTTTTTTTTTTTTTGGGGGGGGGGGGTCAGAAGGAAATCATTTTTTGGGGGGTCGGGGGGTCAGAAGGAAATTATATATATATATATATTATTTATTGTTTTATTCTTTTTTTTTGGGGGGGGCAGAAGGTTTCTTTTTTTTGTGGGGGGGGGGGTCGGGGGGTCAGAAGGTTTTTATTTGGGGGGGGGGGGGTCAGAAGGAACTCATATATGTTTTTGGTGGGTCAGGCCTGAAACTGCTAATCGTGCAATTTGGAAGGCTCCTAGGTCCTATGTTGACTGTCCTTCCCCCAGTGAACCTTGGACTCAAGAGAAGCAACACGGAGAACATGCCAAGTGCAAGCAACAAAAAAATCCGCGGCGGCGCAGCCGCATCCCTCTCCTTGAGTGCCTCTTGCAACGGCATCTTGGGGTCAAGACTGTCCAACGTCCGGCCATCGGGCAGAACGATCTTCACCTCACCCGGAAGCTTTGGGCAAAGGTTTGGCCACACCGCTGATTGAAAGCCCTTCCGGCCTTTTTTCCAGGCTGTCGAAAACCCGACCGGCCACACTTGAGCGTCTTCAAAGTTTCCCCTTTGCTTGCCCTTGCCCACCAACAAAAGGCTAGTTAAAAAAAAGACACCCACACACACACACAGACCTTCTTCGCTTCCCCCAATGTGGGGTTCCCCCAAAAACTACGTCTTGCCTCCAAAAAACCAGGAAGATAAAGGCCACCTGAGTCATAATCAAAACCCGGCATTAAACTGGTCTACCCAGAACCATCTAAAGAATTAGAAAGGCGGATATCCACAGCTATTTCTGGTTGGGATTATCCCTTACTAACCTTCATCTACCCGGGTTTTGAGCACGCGGCTGTGCGCGGACCTTTTCGCCGTTTTGGGTACCCTTGTTTTCTGTCTTCTTTGCCAGGGGAACCGACTTCGGTACAAGGGCGCGACTTCGGGCACCCAGAAAACAGAAAAACACGCCGGGCCGGCCGCCCCGAGCTCCGAGGGCCCCGAGGGCCCCGAGGGCCCCGAGGGCTCCGGCCTGACGGCCCTGCTTCTCCAGGCGCGTGGCCGCGCGGAAGCAGAGGTCCGCCACCGGATCCACGGCGTGCGCCTCCAGGCTGTGCTCCTCCCCGGCCAAGGACAGCAGCACCAGGCGCAGCGTTGAGGGAGCTGCAGTGGCTCTCTGATTTCTTCCCCTTTTTTTTGGAGAGGGGGGTTTGAAGGGGAAGGAAAAAACGAACACCGCAATCCAGTTTGCAAATGGCGATCCAAAACCGTCTGTTTTACAAGGGGGGGTCCTCATCCAACACGGTGGAAAACTGTTCTTTTCTCTCACCGGCATACGCGTGCCGAATGAACAAATGGCTGCAAGACACTCCGCCTGTTCAGACCAACGCTCGCCATCAATTTCGGACTCTGCGCGGGGCCCGCCCTCTTCACGGGTAGTTTTAGCCAGAGCCCACTGATTCTGAGGCTGCTTTGGATCAGGGCTTTCGAGAGCCCCAAGTCATTGCGTGGCTCTTGGCCATGTTTTGCCGGCTCCCTGGCCTCATGCGGAAAGCCTTTCATTGGAAGCTGTCCGTCACGTCCGGCGACGCGCCCCGCGCCCCGCGGCCCCGCCTGTTGGCCCCCAGAGGCAGCGCCCCAACGTAAAAACGCGCGTCTGCGTCAGTGCTTCTGGCAGACCATCCTCGATTTCCTCCGCCTTCCGGGCGCTAACCGCAAACGGACAAGAAAACCAACACAGCGCACGAGAGTAGGTTGGACCTCCCAAATGGATTTCCGGTTGCTTTTCTGATTTCCTGTTGAAAACCAAAGAAGACGTACCTTCCAAAGCAACACCACACCCCAAAATCGTCTTCACTTCTCATGGCCATAGCATACGGCCCCAAAATCCCCCCGGCGCCTGCAGGGGGAGCCGCACCTGGCGCTGGTCGATGACCTCCTCCGAGCGAAGCGCCACTCCCTGGAAGCGGAAGAGCTGCCGGTGCTGCGTCAGCCACCGCTGCAGCTCGTGCAGCCGCGCCTGGAGAGAGCGAGCCGTCCAGAGCGAGGCGCCCAAGGGAGCGATCGGTATTGGTGGAGTCGAGAGCGAGGAAAAACGTGGAGTCGCGTCTCAGGTTGGGTTGGGGGATTTGTTGGTCGGATTTGGTGGTTGGTTGGTTGCTTCCCAAAGGCCAAGCCTCCCCTAAGCACCCGTTTTATTTGCGAAGGTTTCGTTTGCCAAAAGCTGCGGCCAAGCGGCTGGATCCACTGGAAACGCCTTCCAACGTGCCACCCACTTGTTCTCCGACCATACCTGAGCCAGGCGTCGTGTTTTCAGGATCACGCATTCTCATCTGTCTGAAAGGCCGGGATGCGCAATAGCCAACCTTCAAATTCCAGCCGATGATGGGTGAGGTGTCGTCGCCGCGAACTTCATGACACGCGACGAGCTGCATCCGGGCGAGGAAACTTAATGCCTGAAACGGGGCAATGAAAGTAGCGAAAGAATCACAGCCCAGCCGGTTTTTTAGGGGAACCACCTGGCCACTAGCCACAGTGTTCAGTGTTCAGTAGGTAGCCCCCGTCATTAGTTGGCTGCCGAGCAGCAGGCATGGAGATCATGTTGGCCGGCAGCACTGCCGGCAGATTCCCCACGTTGAAGCACACCAGCATCTGCTGGTCGTAGATGATGCACACCTTGGGCCGCTGGCTCTGCGGGAACCCGCAGATGCTGATCTCCGCCGTCTGCTCCGGCGACGCCCGGCGCAGGTACCGCAGCGTGCAGTGGAGCCACAGCCCGATCCGCGCCAGGAGGACCAGCGCAACCATCGCGGCCGCGGTGATGCAGAGCTGCAGCCGGCACCCCGGGATGGCGGCGATGCCTCGGAAACTCTGTTCTCTTGCTTCGCGCCCCCAGAGAATGCAAATCCCTAGGCAGCGAACAGGGAACCCCGAAGGAGGCTTCCCGTTTGCCCACAAGAACCAAGGCTCATTGACCCAACACCCCCGATCCAACCACCCTTTTTCGGGCTCCCTTCATGCAAATCAAGTAGGTTGAACGGGGGAACCCCGAAGGCGGCGAAGGTTTGCCTAGCGGCAGATGTAGATCACGAGGGGGCTACCGAAATCCAGCCAGGGGAAGAGCGCCAGGATCTGACGGACACACCTGGAGTCTCCTGACCTCCTAAGGACATGGGTCATGACCCCATAGATTTGTTTGCTTCTTTTCAGGGTCACGGAGACTCCAGGCGCTCTGGGTCGTTGGTGCACGCCACAGGAAACCAGATGTTTGTTGACCTAAGGGATTTCGAACCTCTCCTTTCCTTCACAACACAAGACGTGGGCACCCAACCCCCCCCCCCCCCCAACAAAAAATAATCCGCGCCAGCCATGCGCCACTCCGCCACTCCGCGGCCCCTCCATGCGGGATGCCCCGGGCCTTCTCTCTGCGGGTGCCTCCTGGGCCATAGACCATGCGGCTGAACTGCTCCGCCGCCCGGCCCGAGAGAACCAGGTGGTACACCTCCGTGTGGCCCGCCTCGAGGCTCGCCTCGGGCTTTCAGCAGTGGGACGGTTGGTTTGCCCAAAGCAATCTAAACCCAAAAAATTGGTTTGGGCACCTGACCAAAGAGAGTGAGGGAAAAAACCTACGGGCTCCTGTGGCTGGTTCCCTGCAACTCATTTGGGTCAAAATAGGGATCCCTTTTCTACCAGCCTGAAAAAAGCACCCTCAATAAAACACACAAACACACACACAAACACACAAACACACAGACACACAGACACACAGACACACAGACACACAGACACACAGACACACAGACACACAGACACACAGACACAGACACACAGACACACAGACACACAGACACACAGACACACAGACACACAGACACACAGACACACAGACACACAGACACACAGACACACAGACACACAGACACACAGACACACAGACACACAGACACACAGACACACAGACACACAGACACACAGACACACAGACACACAGACACACAGACACACAGACACACAGACACACAGACACACAGACACACAGACACACAGACACACAGACACACAGACACACAGACACACAGACACACAGACACACAGACACACACACACACACACACAGACACAGACACAGACACAGAGACACAGACACACACAGACACACACAGACACACACAGACACACACACACACAGACACACACACACAGACACACACACACACACAGACACACACACACAGAGACACAGACACAGACACACACACACACAGAGACACAGACACACAACACACACACAGAGACACAGACACACAGAGACACAGAGACACAGAGACACAGAGACACAGACACACAGACACACAGAGACACAGACACACAGACACAGACACAGACACAGAGACACAGTCACAGACACAGACACCAGACACCACAGACACCACAGACACCACAGACACCACAGACACCACAGACACCACAGACACCACAGACACCACAGACACCACAGACACCACAGACACCACAGACACCACAGACACCACAGACACCACAGACACCACAGACACCACAGACACCACAGACACCACAGAGACACCACAGACACCACAGACACCACAGACACCACAGACACCACAGACACCACAGACACCACAGACACCACAGACACCACAGACACCACAGACACCACAGACACACAGACACACACAGACACACACACAGACACACACACACAACACACACACACACAGAGACACACAGAGACAGACACACACACACACACAGACACACAGACACACAGACACACACAGACACAGAGAGACACAGACACACAGACACAGAGACACAGAGACACAGAGACACACAGAGAGACACAGAGAGACACAGAGAGACACAGAGAGACACAGAGAGACACAGAGAGACACACAGAGACACACAGAGACACAGAGACACACACACACACACACACACCCACACCCACACACAACACACACAACACACACACACTTGGAATTTCGCCCACCGAACTTAAATGCATCGATCCTGGAGCTCTCGTCGCAGGCTCTGATTTCCAGCAACCAGGAGCGCCGCAATGGGCCCGCAGATCAAGAAGGAGGCGCAGCTCATGACCGCAGTCACCAGTCCCCCCACCTGCGAAGCGACCGATCCATGCACCAAATCTGCAGCTGCATGCTGGCGAATGTGGCAAAATGGGGGGGGAGCATATTGGATTGCTTCCGGTTTTCTTTTGAAACCACCACAAGGACACGCCGATGTTGAAGGCTAAGTGACACGAGTTTGGGCATGAGGAAATCTCGGTTGAAGAAAAGCCTCGTGAAGACGCGTAGCCCAAAAGTTCTCACCTCAAGAAAAAAACACGACAGGGTGAGCTCGAAGTTTGAAAGCAAATAACCCCAGTAATGGTGCGGGTAAGTTGGTTCAACTGGTCTCACGGATCTTTGCCGCGGCAAAGTGGGCTTCCCTGGTCTTCCATCGGGCGTCACGTGCCAGGCCTGCCAGCCGGGGCCACACCACAGGCCCAGCGCCTCCGGAGCCAGAGACAGCTCTTCACCGCTGGGCAGCCTGGGAGAGTTTTGGATGGGTTGAGTTCACGGGGAGGAAAAAAGGAGAAAAAACACATTGCACCTCCTTCGGGGAAGCGAAATCTCGCGCTAGGATAAGGCAGATGAGAGCCGAAGAGGCTCAAAGACCATGCTAAGTTCGGTCAATCGCTAGCTTCCAGTGCTTTCGTCGACGTGAACACCACAAATCTTTCCCAAAGAAAAACAAGAGAACGCACAAACACCGCTCACCCGCTCGCCCGCTCCACTCACTGGGCCTTACCAAGACGTACTCCCAGCTTTCAGGGACGCGCACAACGGTAACTGCTTGGCCTGCAGCGGCACAGGGGTCGCAGCCACTGCCGGCCTGGCAGACTTGCCAGGCGCCGCGAAAGCTTTGCAACAGGTGAGGATGGTATCACAACTTGCCTGCAGCTTGTGCTTTACTTCTTTTGGCCTACAGGAATGTTGAAGGGATAGTGGCGTTCAGCGCCCTTTTAGGGTGAGATCTGTCACCGCAAGCGTTCCATGTCATGACCTGCCAGAACCTTTCCGTTCTCCGGATTTGGGGGGCAAGGATCGGAGTCCTGTATCTTCTTCAACAGCTGCTGGTCAGAGATCACGTGGAGCGTCTGGCCCTCCCTCCTCAGCTTCTGGCTCATGTCCCTTCGGGCACAAATGGAAAGAACGCTATGCGATAGGCCCGGTTTTCTGCCATTTGCTTAAGCCCCCTGGAACAAACAAGCATATTTCCAGTAGAGTGATAGATTCGCTTGAGAACCGACAGGGGAAACATATTCTTAAGCAAATGGAAGTTTTGCATAGCTTCAGTGAAGAGTTGGAGCCACAGCTGCCCCAGGCGAAAAACCCCAGCACGGCCGCTGGGGGAAGTAGCACCAGCGGCAGAAGCGCCCAGTGTCCAATCGAGCGAGGGAGCTGGACTCGTTGCTCCTCGGCGAAGCTCCCAGCTCGGCGCGCTTGTGAGACAGGTTCAAGCACATCCCCCAACAAAGCACCAAATGTCATCCCCCCCAAAAAAAAGCGCCGAATTTGTTTTCATGCTTGAAATACAATCGTGGCAAACATGGCCACCGACTCGCCAGCGAGGTGGGCTTGAACCAATTCGCCAGGCTACGGGCAGCAGCACCTCTGCGCCGGGAGCCATGGCTGCGCGTGGCCGGAGCCTTGAGGCTGCACGGCTAAGAGCCGTTCGGCGCGCCGGACCCCACCGACGGGACTTCGGGCATGGTCAGCGCGGGAACCCCGCCCCGGGCGCCGGACTCCAGTTGGACTTGGGCGGCAGGTCCGAAATTGCGATCCACGCCATTTCTTCGCCTCCTCTCAGGTCACATGCCGCAGCGCGCGGGTTCGCCGCTTCATCTTGGCCTCCATCGTCCGCTGAGGGCGAGCGCCTCTCCCGGCGCTTGGCGGGGCCTAGGCGATCACCGGCACCGAAATCGCGTCCAGAAACAATGGGGCTCTCCCCACTCCCTGCGAAACCGCGCGGTTTATCCGTTTCTTGCCTTTTTAAGGGGGCCCCAAATTCTACCTTTTTTGGGGGGCCCAACATTTTTGTCATACTCTTCACGAACCCCGGTTTTTCGTGTCCATTTCTTTGAGGCCGCCACTCCGCGACCTACTCGGTGACCTCAGCGGCTCGCGGCTCGCCGCAGAAAAACGCCGCGGTTCTTGGCCCTGCCTCGGCATCTTCCGCGGCCGCTTCGTCTTGGGCCGGCCGGCGGAGAGCGAGAGGCTCACTCCAAAAAGCAACGTGGTCAAAAAGTGCTCGACTGAAAGCTCCGAAAGCTGCAAGGCTCACAACTGGAATTTTCGCCGGGTTTGTTCTGCACCTTTTGGCACCTCTTAGGTTTTTGGGGTCAAGTCGAACCAGGGCACTTTGGCCCTTGTGCATCTGTCACAGCCCTCAGTGGAATTGGTCATCGAAGCCCATGTCCGCCAGGGTCACCTGATTGACGCCAGCCGACGTCCAAACAAAAAAGGAGGCCCAGGGGGCCCGCGCGGAGGTGTGGCCGTGGGTGGCTCGATCCAAATCAATCAGCCTCGGATCCACATCCGACGTGGCAAAGGACGGGACAAAACGCATGTCGGCCGTGAGCAAACAAAGAAAAATTGACCAACACCCTGAACTCTGAACTGCGGCAAATTGAAGCTAGGCGTTCAAAGGGGAGCGCTGCAAACCTTCAACTGTGGCAAGCAAGAGGTCAAGGTCGCTAGCCGCTAGGTCACTCCCAGCGGCTGACGGGCGAAGCCCACATTGGGCCGCGCTCTGGGGCGTCTCGCTCGCAGGAGTGCCTGGCACTGCATCGGATGGCCCATGCCGAATCCTGGCACCTGCTGGACTCGGCAACTCGCCCTGGCTTGGAGAACATCGGCTTCACTGCATATTCAACTTTCAACGCTGACATGATTCGGCGCCAACCCAGCTGCCGTGAGTGATACCACAAAAAGAGCCTGACACAGCCTTGCACAAGCCAAAGCTTGCCGACTTTGATTTGAGCACGCATGGAAATTGACTGCACACTGAGCCGCGTAAGGCGAATGCAACTAAGGCAGATGCAACGCACTCAAGCCATGTGCCCTGACACTTCCAAACCGGGGTTGGAATGATGTTTCTGAAGAACCCAAACGTTATCAAACGTTTCTGGAAGCAAAGCCTTTGCAGCCTTTCCATGCCCGGAACTGCGCCGTAATCCGCTCACTTCAAGCGCCAAAATGCAAAAGGGGGTTGGCACCTTCCGCTGAATCGATAGCCCCTTGGCCCCCTCGCCAAGGCATCGCACAAAGGCAGTTTCTCGCTGAGGATCAGGTAGGCCAGCACCTTGCTTCGTTGAAGTTCGGTCGGAAACTTGGGTTTCAGAGAGCGCCAAGTTGAAGGGCGGGGGGTTGGCCGATCTGATCTTCCATAACCCCTGCCCCACAAAGGCGACCAACTCCTTTCGTAGCTTGCCTTTGAACAGCCCGGCCACGAGGCACACGACGACCGGGTGACTCGACATCAAGGCACGGGCAATGGCCACTGAGCGGCTGCTTCCAGCACTGCAATGCACCAGGCATCTCAGAGAAAGCGGCCGAATTTGGGAGCGTTCAGGATGCAAGCTAAGCAGCTAAGAATGCTGAACCGGTTTGGCCCAAGTGATTTGGGAAATGTAATCATGCATTCTCAAGCTCGGCTCCAGGAATGGTCTCCCATGCCGAAGATGCTCACGGGTCGGCTGTTCCGATTGAGCCTCGTCCGGTGGGTCTTCGCTCCGGGGCCCCCACTTCTCTCCTCGCGCTTTGGCCTCAGCGACCCAAAACAAGACATAACAAGACCTAGACGAGCAAACCGGCAACAGAAGACCAAACCCAGCGCCACCAAAGCTTGGGTCCCCGAGAGGTTGCCGGGTCTGGAGCTCAGGCTTCGGAGAGGAAGCCCAGCGCATCCTCAAGGAAGGGCCTCGGACGCGATCCCGAGGCTGGATTCGCAGTGCTCTCCGGGAGTCGGAACAGGCAAGGAAGCCACCCCCCAAGCAAAAGTACCATGCCTTTTCTTTCTTGCTTCTCGGGTTCCCACCAGGCCCCGAGATTTTCCAATCGAGTCCCGTGGCTAGCTGATGGGAATGCAGAGGCCCTGGCGCCAGCTGCTCCTCTGGCGAGTCCTGCCTGGGTCGCCAGAGAACCAGACACCCCGACGGATTCCCAGTGCCTCGATGTTTTGTTGTAGGGATTGGACGTCTTTATGTCGGTCCTGTTCCCTCTAAAAGAGGGGGTAACTCCAATAGACTTGCAGGTGCGATAGGGAATGACATGGAATGACGTATGTGTTGGGCATGGATGGTTTTATAGGGGTCATTCCCTCATTCCACACAGCACCACGCCCACAGGTGGGCCTTTCCGATGTTCCGAAAGGCTCCACCGAATCAAACTAAACTTTGGGGCTTGGGCATGGGCAGCTGCTTCGTCGGGCACGGCAAGAGGGGCGCCCTGACATCAAGCCAAACGCCGCAGCCGGGGTTCAGCGCTGAACGGGTGATCGCAAAAAAGCGGCTCATTGAGGATCTGCTTTTGGGTAGCTACTTTTGGGCAGCAATGCATGTGCCTCTAAGCAGGCCGTGACGCATTGGGTGATGGGACCTTCAACAACGGTTGCGTGCAGTTGCCTCGGACTTGCGGGCAAGACCTGGAGGAACCGCGCCGCCGCGGCAGGGAACCAACGGACCCCGCCTACAGCAGCTCAGGACACAGCCAATGCCGTGCCTGGCGGCCGTTGGGGGAGGTTGCCATGCCATGGATACAGTTTTCCTGCCACCGGCTTTTTTTGTGACGGGAATGCCGAACACAAACACGCAGGTAGAGCCTCAGAGGTACAATGGCCTTACATGGTTCACATGGGCCTGGCTTGAATTGGCATGATGCTTTCACACACAGCCGCACAAACACGCAAACACCAAAATCAAACAAACACAACCATCATCCTTTTTTCAACCCTAGGTAGCATCCTCATCCGCCATATTTTTGGGTAAGGATGGGCAAAGGATAGGCGTCAAAGACGGCTTTTTCCTGCGCTCTAGGGGATCCTGATCATTGGTTTCCTCCACACGCCCCGAAACCCAGAGGACGCAAAGAAATGCAGTCCTCAAACGTAGCTCAACACTTCACGCGTCGTTCCTGCCCTTGTGCCGTTCCCGCACCTCTGCAGGAAGGTCTCTTCTGCTGCAGCCTTGCTGCCCAAGAAGAGCCACTCCAGCAGCATGTCGGCTTCTGCGGCATCTGCCCGTCTGTTGCCATCCCGGCCCCTAGCACGTTGAAAGCCAAAAGCGTTGCTTGAGAAAAGAATGTAGCCTCGCCTCCGACCACTTGGCGTCCCAACAGTGCGAACACCACTAGACCGAACTAGACCCACTTGGGCCGATGCTTGCCCATGACCCTCCGAAAGCACAGCCCCGCCTTGCGGCCGACGCTGCCATAGGCCATGGCAGGCCCACGTGCGAATTCGTGGGGGGGTCCCCGTGTCTGGCGATCGTCTGCCGTATGTCTCTCTGGTTTCCATCTGGATAAGTTTCACTGAGGCAACGAGCCAAGGAGTCCCCTCCATTTTTTCCCATGGAACCGTTCGACGTTCGGATCCTTCAAAAAGGAAAATGCTGGCCTCTGGACTCGGATGCGGCGGCTTTGTCCATTGGGCAAATCGGGTCTGGCTCCCTGTCTAGGGGACACCCCTTTTGTGGATTCAAAGGGGGAACCCAAAGGAAAACCGAACTTGGGAGGTCCCCTCGAACATGAACCCTACCCAGTTGGAGCTGAGGTGCTTTGACGACCGAAAGGCACTCGCGATCGCAGGTGGCGCGCCTGGAAAGAATCGTAGGCAATCAGAGGCTACGGTCGTGCGGCTGGGACGCTCAGGCGCTATCTCCTAAGGAGAGGGAGTCGGAGGATCCCTTAGTTCTCCATGTGCGCGCCACAAGAAAAAGCCAAGCCCAAAAATGGACAATTCCAGGGTCCATTCAGTTCGTTCCGCTGGGCATTGAATGCCGACCCCATACTAATCAACCCCCAGTTTATTCATGGAAAATAAAAACAACACCCTCCAAAAGTGGTTTAAGTCCCCACTAAACGCGGGGACACCCCCTTTTAACCAACTGGGGTTGCTTCATCTGGGGTCAAAATTACGTGCAATCATACCTGACTTCTTCATCATATAAAGAGGGTCTTCCCTTTGTATCATAGCAGTGGTCAAACAAACCCCCGATATGATCACCCACCACTGGCTCCGCACTCGCACCAAACCGGCTCAGCTGATGAAGGTCTCGAAGCGCCCAGTCACCGCCGTGCGGCAAATGGGGCACGCCTTGCGAGTCGTGCTCACCACCCCGCACAATAACTTCAGAACACAAGGTGGGTCTTTGTTCGAAAAGGACGCCCAAGATGGATGTCTGGGTTTCCTTCTCGAACCACTAAGAAGCAGGGCACCCTCAAAACGGAACCACACCCACGGAGTGCAAGGGGCATCTTGCCTAAGTGGAATGTAGCTGAAATCGAGATCAAAGCCGTACCAGCACATTTTGCCAGATTCTATGCGTACATGCATTCGGAACAGGCAAACTTCTGAACAGCTGCAGGTTTTGCATAGTACAGGCTACAAAAGCCCTGCTCGGCCCCGTGTTAATGTGCAAAGTCAATCGCTCGGTATGCCTCGAACGACCCATGCAGGTACAGCGGCCATGTTGCTTAAACACGTCATCACACCAGTTTGACCGGCTTTCCTGCACATAACGATCTGGTGTATACATCATACATCTTGCAATTTAAGAACAAGTGTGTGTCTCAATTATGGGGACCCCCAAAAAATGGATTTTGGTGCTCCTTCTTGTTTCCTTGAAACAAAACCACCCCCAAAAAATCCCCTCCCCCCCTTTCCCACCCCAAACCAAAAAACACACACACCTTTTGGGTGTCCCCTAACCGCCTACCCCCCCAAAGGGCCGCGAGCGACGTCGCTGGCTCGCTCGAATCGATCGATCGCCTGGTCGCGGCTTTGCTCCACGCGCTCGGCGCAGGGCGTGCAGAAGGCGTGGTGCCTGGACGGCCACGGCCAGCCGACGGCCGGCCCCGGCCGTGCGCCGAGTGGCTGCACCCATGGCCTGTTTAGGAAAATAGATGGGTTTCCCTGGTTGATTGAACCACCAGGGCCAGGAATCGCCAAACCTGTTTAAAGGCCTCCCCGCAGCTGGGCCATAGTTTGGCCCATGTCACTGTCTGCTCCCCACATGGTTCGTGGCAGAGAGAAAGATATTTTGCGGGCAAACACAGGCAGGACACACAAACAAAAACCTGGGGAGACAAATTGGAAAGCCACGGCCGTCAACTCAGTGCCATGGAGCCTGCAGCCACCTCCCAAGCCCGGGACCTACCTCCTTCCCGCCTGCACGGCAGCAGCGCGCAGGAGACCTGACCTATCCAAATCCAAGTGGCCGGGTCGCGAGCAAGGTCGAAGTGAGGAAGCTGGCTCGCACCCTTTTTGGGGCAAGTGATGTGTATGTGTGGTTTTGTTTCTCTGCCTTTTTGTTTTTTTCGAAAACTTCGCCTGTAACCTGTACTAAAAATGGACCAACAAAAGAAGACCCAAAGGGAGAAAGGGTCGGCGTTGCAGAACCGAGCTCTCTCTCTCTCTCTGAGCATTTGCTGGCTCAGGGTTCCCAGCGGTCGTAGCAGATCTTGCACACGGTTACTTCCTGGCGGCCATCCTACCCAGCAATGGAGCCATCTGCATGTCAAGAGTCAAACCCATATTTTCGCACGAATCTCTGTTCTTCGAATGATCTTGGCGAGTCTTAGTGGCATCATGGAGCTGACTCAATCTGATATTTTGTTCAAGAGGGAGGGAGAACCACGGTTGAAGCACCACTTCTCACATTTGGACATGTCAGCCAATCTTGTATGGGATTGACTGAAAATGGCCGGGCGCTTATATCTTTCGGCAACACACAAATTTCATATTAACATGGCTTCACCTGTATGGTATGATGCTGGAATTCCCTACGAATCTTTGCTTGAAGGTGCCTGCATGCATTTACTTGACCCTTGCAAAAACCTTGACGCCCTGGCCCCCCCCTGCATGGTTTGGAGCGCACTTTGCAAAACTGCTCTCGCTTTCCCTGCGCCAACAAAACAAAGGTCTTCCCCTGGGCTCGTTGCCTGGTAAGCCCATCATCTCCATACAGAACTCCTAGCTCCGCTCCCCCTTTAACGGCACATTTGGTTTCCCCAACTCCGAAACGATTCCCTTCCAACCATTCTCTTTCTTCAGGGGAGCCCTAAAACTGGCGGTCCCAACTCCGAAACGGTCCCCAAACTGGCAGCTTCCCGCCAAGAATCCCTTCAGGCCAACTTGCAAAAACGGGAACCCTCGAGAAAAAACCGCAGACCGCCCGCCAGTTTTCCCCCCAGGCACCCCCGTAGCTCCGCCCCTCGGCCCGCCCCCCCCCGGCGCCTTGCAGCTGGCGACGCGCAGCGCCAGGCGACGATCCGCCAGGCGCTGCAGGGACCGCTGCGTCGCCTGGCGGCGCGGAGGCGCGGAGGAGCCGAGGTCCGAGAACCGTGGGGGAGATATATTTCTTAAAGAGAAAACGAAGCGGGTACCATGGAGATATTTTTTTGGGAGGCGGGGGGGAGGAGGGCGGGGGGAAGAAGCAAATGGAGCCCGCGGGCAGCAATGCTGGATCTTTTTTCCCCACTCAGCTATACCACTGCAAGACGTGGAAGGCAGCTGTCCACTTTGCCCCGCATTTGCCCAAGGACCTAGTCTGTTTGGAGCCTTCACTAACGGATCCACTTCGAAGAACCAAAGGTCGGTTCTAGCTCCGCGGCAGGTCTTGGACTAGGTCGAAAGGATAGGGTTCACCGGTTCAACGTTGAAATTCGCCCTGTCAGCCTTCCGGCCAGACTGCGCAATGAATTGAGCCAAGCCCACAGGTCCAGTCGCATGTCGCACTTCCGGAACTGAACCTCACGGCTGATCAGCCGGTTTGCCAGGCCCTATACGCGGGCGTGGCAATGAGATTGCAGGGGCATGGCGTTGCAATGGCGCGCACAAGATGAATTCCGCAAGAGGGGGCCACTAGATTTCCCCCTTGTGCTGAGATCGTGGGAAACCCAGAGACCCTGGAAAGAGTGAGCCAACAAGACTAAGAGAAGGGCTTCAAAAAGTCCCCCGAGTGGCGCGGGCTTTGCTTCGTCATGTAGGCTCTGATGTGATGGCACCCTCCAGGAGTTTTCAGTTGCGACACTAAGCAAATCGTTACCATAGCGAGAAAATGCGAGAAAAGAAAAAGCTCGGCTCAGATGAGGTCGAAATGCAAAGCGCGCAGGGGGCCCTGCCATCTGCTTGAAACAAACTTCGCATCCAATCCGTCGGTTCCGAACTTGCAACAAAGACCAACCTGACTGGAGCTCAAAGCCCAGGCCCGTACGGCCAATGTGCAAAAAACGCTCTCGCTCGTCAGGCAAACGGCGAAAGCTTAGTGCATGTCTTAGATGCGCAAGGTTCTTGAATTGTATGGCAGGCACAAACGTGCCAAGCCATTTGCAGGGCCGCGCTTTAAAGGACACCACATGAATCCACACGACGCGGCATTGTGCGGCGTCTTGTGTTTTCCAATGGCTCGCCTTGGGGCGCAAGGAAAACCTCGGGCGTGGCCCACAGGGACGGAGGCCTGGCTGATGCCGATGTCTTTTTGACCATGTTTGTAGAAACTGCCCGTGTTGTTTCAGTGACGGTAAGCGGCAAGCCTCGTTTTGTCGCCACGCTAATCCGTGGCCAAAGGAACAAATCCACTGAACTTTGCCGAATGGGCAGCCCGGTAGCCCTCACTTCGCATCTGCCGGGCATTGGATCAACGCCTGGAAGCGGAGGAGATCCTGAGCCTGTTGATTCGTCACACCGGTCGTGCCGGGCACGAACTCGTAGCGCATCTTGGGGGTTGGAGGACACCCGCCGCCGAAGATGCGCCTCACGCGCTGCTCCTCAGGCTCGGGAGAGGGCGAGCGCGAGCGATTGCTGGCCACCTTCGACTCCTTGTACATGGCCCGGAAAGTCGCCCAATGCGGCACACAAGGTCGGTTCGCCGGGGACACTCCTAGAGCCGAAAGGCCTGGCAACGTCTCAATCAAGTGATTTGCTTTGCACGCAGCTTAGCTCTGCGCTTTTGTGGGACAAAGGAGAACTGCCACTATCAGAACGGCAGGCGCATCGGTCTCAACCCATAAAAAAGGTACCAAGCTGGGCTGTTCGTTTTCAGCTCAGCTCAAAGTTTGATGAACTCGTGGGTGATTTTCGGCTACCCCCAAACCTCAAAAAGCTTCGAAACCCCAGGGAGCCGGAGCGCCTCTCGCAGGGCCGAGTCCCAGGCGACCACTGCGGGCCTCGTTTTGGCCGATGGCAAGAAACCTGGGGCCCCAAAAGAAACACAATGCCCAAAAACCCACGGGCTAGAGCGATCCGGAGATACCCTTCCGGCCGGAACTGGAGAGCAACTAACTCTGTTCCTGGCTTCACTCTTTGCCATATGGTCGCCTTGTTCTCTGAGTCCCGTTGACGGTGCTCAAGGTGCGCTTCAAAGAACCACGCGTCCCAAGAAACAGCTGCCGTTGCAGTCAATGAACGAGGTCTTGAGGCAAAGCTTGCCCGCACGCTTCAACCTGGCCCCAGCGCTGCTTGCAGCAAGCTTACAGCCTTCTGAAGCAAAAACATGCAAAAACCCGGCCTGCAAACCGAGAAGCATATCGTTGCGTCCGTTTGAACCGTCTTGGGGCAATTGATCGGGGCCGATTCTGAGCAACGCTCGCCGACCTTCCACACTCTGAGCTGCATGCTCGCTGCTCAAATCGGCCAGGGATTCTTCTGACGCCTTGGGCAATCGCGGGGGGTCCCAGGGCGTTGGCCGCGCCCTTCGAAGCAAAAAGTGAGCAACATGTTCATCGCCTGAAATAACACACACACACACATACATATATATATATATACTACATGTATACCAGAGGCGCGGATCTTGCAGGGGGGGGGGGGTTGGCGACCATATATAGTAATGTATATATATATATATTGTATGACAATATATATTTGCTAAAAAAACACCTCCAACACCACCCTTTCTAAAAAAAACTACTCAAAGTCTAATTGGTTGCTGTGTTTAGTGTCATACTGGTCATACTGCCCAATGTGGGTAAGTTCAAAAAGCAAAGGCTGAGCAAGCATCTGCTAATTCTGCCGCTCGTTGCATCCACTCCTAAGTCGGTCAGATCTTGAAGCAACCTTGCGCATCCGCAAGGATGTGCCAGGATGAGCAACTTGCTCCCCTTGCAAAACGTACAGCGAATCAACATTCGGCGCATGCCTGAAGCACTAGCTACCATTCAAACGCAAGGCTTCAGTCAAGAACTTCAGCTTTGCAATCAAAGCCCAGTTGCCCTTGGGAGTAAAAGCTCAAACAAGTCCCATGACTCTGCAAGAGATGTAGAGATGTGTACGCTATGTGCAGAGGCAGGTGTCAAAGAACGTATTCACGGGCATCTCCTTCACCGTTTGGCCTACAAAATGCACGTCCACCGTCCTCTCATTCAAGCACCTGCTTGTATTCGGACCACCTCACACTGCACAGCATGCACGCGTCCTCTTGACAAAGAAACGCCAAGGATCCCGCCCTGCATGCCCTTCTCCTCTACCCCGAAAAAAGACAACTGACACACTTCTACAACTAGGTCCTCCAGTAGAGAGGTTAGAATAATCCCTTTTTTCTGTAGTCTATTTCAATAGGGGAACCCTCCCCCAAAAAAGGGGCAAAAGGGCACTACCGGGGGACCTAGACAAACATGTGCACAGCAGCCGTCCAGGCAAAAATGAGTAATGTTGACCCAGGATTGATAAACCCGTCCCATTATTAGGGGGGTGTGATGAGTCCCCACTAAAAGGGGACGCCCCCCCCCCCCTATGAATCAACCAGGGGTTTATTAATCCGGGGTTAACATTAACTCACTTGCCCAAAGGACCCATCAGCAAAAGGTTAACCTTGTAAACCCCTACTAAAAATAGACCAACCAGGGAAAACCAATAGGTCAAAAGGTCGGCTTTGAACAACTGAGTCAGGTGAAAAGCAAGCTCTGCGTGTATCGACGCACGCGAGGAAGGCGCCTCCCAAAAGTCCAGCTTGCCTTTGAGTCGCACCACCTCTGCCTGACGTCGTGTCTCGCACGTGAGGCAAACCAGCGGCCGCAGGTGGTGAAACTGACCCAAACGCAGTTTCATGGGGGGCAGGGGGGGGGGGGCATGAATAAGTATAGGGCAAGCCAAGCAAAGAACAAAAGCATGCCCATGGATGTTATAGCCATTCCCCCTCAAAGCCACCCTCAAGCCACCTGAAACACGAAGCCCATACGGCCGAACCACGTTTCATATTTTCCGACCGACCTCCTGCTGCTTGCCGGCCGCCTCCAGCTCATCGCCTCAGCAAGCAACGGCATCCGTTCGACTGGGGGGGTCCTGGCTTGGGCCGCTTTCCTCTAGAAGGGACGTACGTCAGGCTCCTGAAGAAGGGTGGGGTAAATGGAAGTGCCTTGCCTTTCTGGATGGTTTTTTCCCAAGGTGTTGCACCACATTCTTGGGATTTGCCCAACCTAAAGAAAGGAACACCTGAATGGACACCGCCAAAAGTAAATTTGAGAACCCATGCTCTGAGTTGGACAAACGAACGGAGGCGGGTCCCGCCATTTCCCATCTCAAACCTAGTCAAGGTGCATCAACGGGTCTGGTTCCCCCTGTATCCAACTGCCGGTTGGTTTCCCTGACAGGGGCTGGTCTCGCTGGTTGAGGCAGGCGGCATCTCTGCTTGAGGCAGGCAGCCTCGAAGCCCCGCGAGGCACACCGCTCAAGGCAGATGCAGTGCTCCCTGCTTGGGCCCTGGCCTGCTGTTTCGCCTCCTCCCAGCCCTGGCGCAAGCATGCCCCCGAACCATGGAACCATGGCTCACAACATGATGAGGGCTTGGCATTCTATTTCAGTCTCTTGCTGGTGTCCCTTTGCTCTCTGTCTCTGTCTGTCCAACCTTGGCAGCCTTCTCAAAACACCATGGGTTTGTCTGGGGGGACCCCCCCCGCTGAAACCAACCCCAAAAAAGGAACCCACGTCATCCACTGTCCGTTTTCTGTCCTCCTCCTTGCCTGCAGGCTGCCTCGGACAGAGACCACATGCACCACCTGCCGGAATGCAAAAGGGCGCCTGAGTCAATCAATCTTTCCATGTCGTTCCTGAGAAGCCAACCTTAGATCCCAGAGAGCATCAAGAACTCCAGATGTCGATCCCCCACCAACCGCTTTCCCAAACCCTCGCACGGCTCGAGCTCGGCAAGCCTCGCCGCTGGTGCGCAGCGCTTGCAACCTCGCCTGCGGGCCCACCGGAAGCTGACACGAGGTTCTGAATCAAAGGTTGATCAACCCACCAGGTCAAAGGTGAAACCATCGCCACGGGACATTCAGGAAAAAACGAAAACATGGAACTGGCGCCCAACCTTCCCAACTAGGTCCTAAAATGGGTGGTGAATTAATTCACCCACCAACAAACATGGAAAGGTGTTGGCGTCTCTCACCCCACCCTTAAAAAAAAACAAAAAAACTTTGTTAGCAGGCGGTTTTAAACCATGGCCATACCCCCAAACCCCCAAACCCCCCCAAACCCCCCCAAACCCCCCTGACCATTTCACGGCGCTTTCCATGTCCGCGCCTCGGCCACGGCCGCCTGGTGCCGCAGCTCATCGATGACGCGCTGCTTCTCCGCGACCTCGTCCCGGACGATGGCCACCTAGGCGTCGAGCGGGGCCACTCGTTGAGCCTTGTGGTTTGCCAAAAGTTGGGTGGTTTCCTTTTGGGCCTAAGCTTTAAAACCAACCAAAAGACAGGTTCCCTGAGAAAGCATAAACTGTGTGTGTGTTGATGGCTGTTGCCACGTGTGTTGCCCCCTTTCGCGCCACTGCCGATACCGCGCCGCTTGCTTATTGGACCACGCCGCCTGGATGCGTTTCTCCTCGTTGCTGTCCGCCAGCATTTGCCGGAGGAAGTGCACTTCCTCCAGGAGCACGTCACCTTTGGACCTGTGCGTCCGGCACGTTTCAGGTGTCGAGTTCCCTCGTTTCTTGGCGATCTGGAGCCCGGTGGTTTGGTCCCTTGGTGGGTCTTCCGGGGTGGTCTCCCATTTCCTCTCTACAAGAATCCGAGTCCAAACTACCAATTGAGGCCGACCTAATGCCATTGCCCGGCAAACAAAGTGCACCTCATGGGCATGGTGAAGCCGGGCGCTGCGCCTGAGCCCAACCAAAATGGCTCCGACTGAAAGGGGTTTGGAAGGAGCTTTGGGTTGGCTCTGGTGACATCCGCGCTTTCACGCACAACCTTGATCCAACCGAACCGAGCTCGCCGGCCTCTGCTGGACCTCAGACTTGAAGATCGGCATCCGAGATCGAATGCATGGAATCATGTCTGCCCCAGGTCCCCACACCCCAGATGTCCCCCCCTCCACATATCAGGGGGCACCAGGGTGTTTTTTTTTTACATAAGCCCTTAGTAAGACAGTCTCATTGGTTTTCATGAAAGTCACACATAATGGCTTACTAAGGGCATAGAAGCCTGGGAGCCCTGCGAGTGACTGGCATCCTCGGTTCACCGAGCCGGTTTTCACCGGACCTTCACATGAGCCGCAGCGCTCATTTCAGGCTGCGGCGCTGGCACTAGCGAGGCCCTCTCGCGGCGGGTTGCACTCCCCGAAGTCCACCAAGTTCACGATCTGGCGGAGAGAAAAAGCCCGGGGCTCTCTGGCCTCACATCCCTTCCATCGGACCTGGCCTCTCCGAGCCGAAGCCGCCCGGGGCCCCATCCAAATCAAGCCTCCATCTTTCGCCGTAAATGTGAATACTTATATCGCTGACTCACATATCGCTTGTTTTCACATTTGCAGCTATGGTGGGCGTCCTGTTCCGGGGGACCCATACCCGGGTTTTCACTCCCAGTGGCCCAATCCTTTGACAGGTGTGAGCTTGGAGCTTGGGACTTAGATGCTGCCCTTTGGGAAATCGATGCAGTCCATCTGGGTCGCTCCCCAATTCACTCGCGTCCATCTGGGTCCAGATGGATCCAGTTGGCGGCGAGTTTGAACCTGCGACCCCTTCAAAAGCGGGTGGATATGAATCCCCACTGAAATGATGATGATTGGGATGTTGAACAAAAGGTCCCGACCCAAATAAACATCACATTCATGTTGAGAAGCCGAAAAGCAACTTCCCCGCATGTTCCCATCAAAATGCAATCCATCCGTGTCCGTCTTTTAAATGGACCCCACCCAAAAACAAAAAAAAGGATTTCGGCCTTCCTTTCGGTTTCCAAATTTGAAACACCATAACCCAAAACTCTTGGGTTCGGTTTTCCTTCGAAGGAAACCCAAAGGCCTTGAGTGTTTCCATGTGTTTCCCCCTGTAGAAAGGAGCCCACTTCCGCGCTTCAGAAAGCCGCCTTGACGGAGGAGGAGGAGCTGCGGGGCCGCGCCACCAGCTCCAAGTCCTCGCCCGCCAGCATCCGGAACTCCCCGTCGCTGCCGCTGCCGCCCTGAGCCGGGGGGGGGTTCTTCGCCCATCTCCTTACAAAAGCACAAGCCGACCACTGCCTTCTTGGCTTTCCTACTTGGGATTTGTACGACATGATTCCCAAGCAGTTGAGGGGGGGGGGTGGTTGGCGGCCACTCCCGCCTCTTTCAGAAAACCCCTTAGGGGAGCTGAGGAAAGCCAGCCCCGTCCTCGCGCCTCGTCCGCATCCTCGAAGAGCCACTCCGCACGTGGCGCTGCCTGCACATTCCCCAAAAAGCCGGCGCAGCCTCGAAACCGGAAGCCCCCTTGCTTGCTCCCACATAATAAGTGGGTGCACCTCATTTTTGGGGGGACCCCCCCTTCTTTTTTGGCTGGTGACACCAGAAAAACAGGAAAAACAAGGGACACTTGAATTCCTGTGGGGCCCTCGCCGCGCGTCCCCAGGCCTTTGGCTTGGCCTTGGCCTTGCCGCTTGGCCCGCTTCCGCTTCCGCCGCCTCCGCTCGCGCGGCTGCTTTGGAACCGCGCGAGCTGGTCCGCGTCGATGGCGCCGAGGTGCGCGTGCCAGGGGTGCCCGCAATGCTTGCAGCGCTCTCTCCTGGGTGGCTAAGCCAACCCCAAAAACAAGCCCATTTTTTTGAAAGCCAACGTGGATGGTGTTTTTTTTGGGGCTTGGACGAACCCAACCCCAAAGAAAGGGGTAGCGACTGAAAAGGAACCACACCCCGCGCCAGCCTGAAGATGTTGGCCTCGAAGCGCTGGCAGCCATCGGGGTTCACCCGAAGCTCCATCGGCTCAGTGCCGCGCTGAGAGCTGCTGTGGAGCTGTGGCTTGACACAAAAACGGCATCCCCAAAATGGCACCTTGGGAAATAGAACCATATAAGGGTATCTATATATATATATACATATATGCGGGTGTGGGTCACAAAGAGGTACTCAACATGGCACATGGAAATACATGGAACCAAAGACAAATCACCACCTGCGTAACGGTAGCTCTTTAGTTTGGAGTGGTCCACGCCCATGTGCCCCACAGCACTGCGGAGATTGCATGCTTGCTCCTTGAAAGTGAGTATGACATCTGAGCCTTGGGCTAGCGGCTGAGTCCAGTCACCCCAGAACCTTACCCAGGACATGACCCACCGCTTGCAGCACCGATGGTTTCTGTCCTTTGCCGTGTGGCAACTTGCGTATGTACAAAGGGATGCCACTCTCTCCGAGGTGTTCCCAACTGCGGGCGCAAAAGGGCGGTAAAACGCAGGGCAGCGAGGCACGACCATCATCACTGGTGACACTGCCCTTATGAGTCAGAAATTAACAGGCGATGAAATATGTTGACCTTCCCCGGTTGCGTAGCCACCTCTTGACACTCCGCACCCCGTGAGAACGCGCAAAGCACCCGGGACCCCATCTCGAGCGAGCCATGCACAAGGAAACAGCATGGCTTACGAAACCTCGTAAGCCAGGACGAAGTCCGTAGCTTGCGTGACCCATGGGCTCCAACACATGGCTTCCTTTCGGATGCACGCGAAAGCAAGCTCCCCCTGCTGGCTTCGACGCGCTTCTCAGAGGTCGGCATCGGGGCGCGGGCATCACTGAACCTCACGGATCGCGCCAAAAGCTTCTCGTGGGATCGTGGCTCCCCTGCAAGCAAAGCTGCAACAGAGATTCCCCAAACTCATCAAGACACTGAGCTCACAAGGGCGTGTCTGAAAAAATAAGAGGCACCGGGACCCCAAACGGGCTTTGGTTTCCCCTTGGCTCCCTTACACCCCAACCAAAAGGCACCGCTGCATCTTTCACACAAGCGGAACCCGTTGCCCCAGTCAGCTCCAGGAGCCTCAGCCCAGGAGGCCGCCGAAGCCGCTGGCGCATTCCCGCAGCTTGCCTCGCGCTGCGGGCTTTCGAAACCAAAAGGAACCGAAGGGCTGGTGGAAAAGCCCGGTCCTTGGTTGCTGCAACGAGCCCCCGGACTTTTGTGGATTTAGTACGGAAAACCGAATCCTCGATTTGAATCAACAAGTTAAAGCCTAAAGATCCGTTACCCAATAGCAGTCAAGTTCCAAGAAGGCTCTGGTTTTGGAATTCGAAACCAAGAAAACCAAAAAGGCCACAGGAGATGGACCCACCTTGGTCCCCTGGAAAAAGGCTCCGCCCCTCCGAAAGATGCCGCTTCAAGGGAGCCGAGTGGACGGCTTGGCGTGCCAAGGTGCCGTCGACCTCTGGCTCCCGCTGCAGCAGCTTCTCGTCATCGCTGATGAAGACCTGCGCGTGGGGGGGGAGGAAGGGCCTGCCTGCAGCCAGTGCTTCTGAAAGGGGGGCTGGGCCGCACGCATCCTGGCAGCACTTGATGTTGCTTCTTGACTCACCCGCTCCAAACCAAAGAAAAGATATCTTTGGGCTGAGGGCATTGGCTTTGGCTCCGGCGCCTTCTGTTTCAGCGCGTCCGGGGCACGCCGGCTGAGCTTGTCCTCGCAGCCCCTCTCCCAGGAGGTGCCTCAGTGCGCTTCACCTGTTGCAGCCATTGACTTTTAGTTCTAAAGCTATGGTTGCAACGGCTCATGGCATGAATTTGAATTGGGTACCCAGTGGACTCCGAAGAAGGTGGGACCCAATTCATGTCCACTCACCAAGGTGTCTAATGTTTTTTTTATGTGAAGGCTCAACATGAATTTTGGTTTTCCTTCTTTGTTCCTTTTTGTTTTCCATTGAAACCAAAAAAAGCGGAGTGCCCTCAAAAAACGGAACCACACCCACCACTTCTCCGCTGCGGCAAGCGGATTGCAAGACTTGCGGCCAGGGAAAAAACCTGCTTCGATGCAAAGGAACCGCCTTCTTCGATGAGGTTGGCATGAACAACTCAAGTTGCACCAGTATAGACCCCAGATACCATGGGAGATTTGACTGGAAATGATTCATTTTTCTGTAGCCAGTCAACTCCAGGGACATGATGCCCAGAGCGCCAAAACTTGGTCGCTGCAACAACCCCTCTGCAAAAAGTCTAACTTTTTGGGGGTTCAGTGGAAAACCCAGCTTGATTTCAATCACAAAGTTAAAGTCTAAAGATTCGTTACCCAATGGCAGTCAAGACATGGTGCCCCAAGCGCCCAAAGTCGCTACCAACGCGTGGCGGCCCGTCGGTTTTTTTTCAGGTAGGCCCCGGGCGCCATGGCTCTCGAAGCTTCTTCTCCTCGCCTTGCCAGGGCCTGGCGCATTGCTCGGATCGCATCTTCTAGGGCTATCTTCCCCATTCTTTCCAGGGATCCTTCCTTTCAGGAAACCATAAAAAACCCAGGGAAACAGCTGGTTTTTGAAAAGAACGATGGTTGAACAGAATGGGGAATCAACCCCTAGATAAGTGGTGTGTGTCTCTGTGTCTTTGTTTTGAGTTGGTACCTGTCGCCTTTTCTGGTTTTCAAGGGAAACCACAATTTGAACACCACCAGTTTCGGGTGGGGGGGGTGGGGGGAGGGGGGGGGGATGAGCGCCCACCAATGGTTTTACCTCAGGGGCAATGGGGACAAACAGGTGTACATTGCTCAGATAACCCCCCCCCCCCCCCGAAGAAAAAAAAAAAAAGGAGAGAGAAGAAAACAAAAGAAAAGAAAAGCGCAGAAACTCACTCCCCTCCCCCCCCCCACACCCGCCAATTCCGTCCACGCAAACGCTGCAGTCAGCCTCAGGGACAGCTTTCCATCTGCCCCGCGGTGCAACTCGCCCACCACCTGTCGCGTTGCGTTGACAAAATCTTTTGCTTGCAAGCTCCCGACGCCAAATTCAAAAAACCCCACAGCGATTCATCACTGACTTTGGCGCTTTCATTCTTCATTTCCTCCCAAGATTGACAAATTCTCAAAGATCAGGGTTGGTTGCAATTGTTAAGTTCAAGAACTGCCCGCTTTCCAATGGAAGTGGGAAGGGGGAACCCGATCGTCAGCTTCCATGATAGTCGCAGGTCCCCTTTCAAGATAAAAGGGTGTGCCTGGCGGTTTCCTTTTGGCTTCCCTTTTAAACCAACAAAAAAAACACGGGGTGCCCTCAACACCGACATATGACACACATAAATATCTCTATATAGAATATATAGCATATATAATCTCCTTTCTTTACGCGCCTCCCATTTGGGGGGGGGGGGGGTGCCCGTTTTCCGTTTCGGGGGAAATCCCCGGGCCCCGTCGGCTGGCTCGGGACGTGTCTCGCGGGCCCCCGCGCCGTCACGGCGGCGCCCACCGGCAGCGCCGCCTCCTGGAACTCCAGCGTGGCCTCGTCCGCGCCTGGCGCGAATCGGCGCGTCTCGCGTCTCGCGGCGCCGGGAGCCGAGTTGGGAACCGAAGAGTCTTGGGGCTTGGGGAAATCCGAGCTGAATCCAGCGAAAAGTTGTCGGGCTTGGGGAAATCGACGAATCCACAAAGTTTGGGCTGGGGTTTGGAAAAAAACCCACTTTGTAGCTTCAAAGTTGTATGGTAGGATCGCTGAATTCAGTAACCTGCTTGACGGATCTCTCCCGGTTGGATTTGGGTTCGGAAGATCGTGTCCGGTCGTACACTTTTGGCGGGTGAAAAGGAAATATGAGGGGAGCCCCAAAAGTGAAAGTCTAAAAGATCCAACCCCAACAGCATCCCGAATGCCATGGGACCGGCCAGATGGTCGCTTTTCAAGGAAAGTCCTCGTCCAGCCCGACAACGTAAGGTTTCGTGTTGAATGGGAGGGCAATTGGGTGTGGCTCATCTTTTTCGAGGTGCCCTTCTTCATGTTCGTTTGGGGAACCAAAGGAAAATCGAAACCCATTGTCTAAGAACGATTGCTGATTTAAGGATTGGTTTGGCTTTGGATTGGTTCGCAGCCCGGCTCTTGTGGGCAAATGGGAAGCCACCCCCCGAACACCTCCAAACAATCCAAATCACCAGAAGGGAAGCTGACTCGTGGTGGCTCAAAAAAAGCGGAACATGAGAACAGAATCACCTTCTCCTTGGGTCGTTTGCCACTTACCCTCCAAACCACCCATCCAAGCCACCAAGGCTTTCCTGACAAGCGCTGGCTGGAAAACGGGTGTTCCAACTGGCGGGCTTTAAAAAAAACAAAACGGCACCTCAGAACATCTCAAAGGAAGTCTGTGGGACTCACGCTCGGATTGGATCGCTTGGGCGCCGAGCGGAAGGAGGAGCTGCCCCACTCGGCGCCTGCCGTCGCCCACGCGCCGCGAAGCGAAGCGATCGATGCGTGCGGCTCACCTTGCGGTGCGGCGGAGCGGTGCGTGAGCACAAAGTCCTGGTGCAGAGTCGGGTGGCTCGTCCCGTCTTTTTTGAGTTGGCACCCCCTTTCTGCTTTTGCCCGGTTTTTCAAGCAAAAGGACAACCAAAGGGAAACCCGAGAAATCTGTTTTGGGCTTCTTCGGTCAACCCAAACGAACGCCGCGCGACCCGCAAGCCGACGGATACCAATGGCCATGGTCCTGCCAGCTGTCCGGCGCAGCATCGAAGGTGGTACGCTCCACACACTTCCCCATGGTGTCGAAGAGTGACACGTCGCTGCCCTTCACGTGGATGCCTGAACAGCATGTTTTTTTCTTTTAATTCCTTCCACCAACAAAAAGGAAGAGAAGCAACCAAAAAGCGGAACAAAAACACACCAAACAACCACGTGATCCGAGAACAGGGAAGTGTGCGAAGCATTTGGTTGATCTGTTGAACCAAGCCAAATTGGTAGCGGAGCCAAGGCCACGACGAGTGTTCTTGTTGTCGAGCAAGGACACCACGAAGTCCACATTCGACCTGGTGCCCAGCGCCTTCCTCCCAGCTCCACAAGGCGTGACAAAAACTCCCATGCCGTTTCAGGCTCACGGCTGGTTCCCCGGGGTTCCTTCGGCTTAGGGCCCCGGCGCTGAGAAGGCCATCGGCACCGGCGGCCTCAAACAAGCACTCAGCACACGGCAACTTGGAATGAGAGGTGCCCAAGTGCCTTTTCAAAAAATGGTCGCCTGTTTTTCTTGGAAACAAGACCATTGATCTTGAGATACGCGGGTGGGAAAGGCTATGGACCCGAGCAGGGCCATAGTGCCGATGGTTTCTGGGGCGCCGGCATGCCGTCGTGGAGCTGCTTGGACCTTTCACTGTGGGCGAGCCGACTCATCTCTTCCACCGGCAGCAGACATGGCGATAAAAGCTTCCCTGCCACTGGTGCATGGGCTCGTGCAATGGGCGCCATAGTAAGCTAGAAGGGTCCGATACTGCGCTGGCTTTTGAGGGTACCCCTTTTGAGCTTTGTTTGGTTTGAAGGGAAACCACTCCGCGATTTCTGGTGCCGTTTTGGGGGGTTCCTCCCACATACGGCGCGATCGGCCAAGGCCCCAGCACTGCCGCCGAGTGCAGCACACAGCTGCGGCCGGTGAGCGGCGCCTTCAGCGCGGCACCCAGCGGGCCCTCCACCTCGCTCATCCGTGCGGCTGAGGCGACTGAAGTGGAGCTTTTGTCCCAGCTCTGGGGGATTGGCAGAAAAGACCGGAGTCACTGGATTTCTCGGAGCATTTTTCATGGGCCATCGTACGCATTGGTTCGCCTCGGAGCCTGGGCCTCCCTGCACGCACTTCCAGACGCAGGAGCTGCCGCGAACCTGGGCCGGTCGCTCGGAACCAGCAGTAGTTTCTGTTTGGCATGTGAATACCAACCCCAAATGTGGTCCTCAAGGTTTTTTTGGTTTTCCTCCCCTCCGCCCGAAACTGTAGGTCTCCCTCCGACAAAGGCGCGACATAAGGCGGCCGCTGACAGGTTTGGAGAAGGCGCAGTCATAGCCTCGCGCGCGATCCATGCGATCCGCTCAAAGCTTCTGGCGTCCCAAGACCTCCCCACCCAACCTCAGTGGACATGTGGGAAATGGGTCTGTCCATTTTTGAGGATACCCCCTTTTTGGGCTGGCTGAAAGGGAAACAAGCCACCATTTTCAGGGGTCCCTAAGAGAAAGTGGCAAAGGGATTGCTCGGGCCCCTAAGCGTTTGGCAAGTCTCCCCCATGCACCGAACCCACCTCATAGACAACGAAGCTCACATGAAAACCCGCGAAATCCGAATGACATACATAGCTTCTCGTTGGTCTCCCTGTCAAACACACCGACAAATGGGCAGCCTCCTTCTTCCACCAACATGGGGCCTGAATTTAGGCATCAATCCCAACCAAGGACACGAGATGGTGGGCATCATGATGCCAACCACTTTGGAGGCACCACATACAGATCACCACGTTTTTGCGCCCTACACACCAAGTCCTTCCAATCTGTCTGCAACAGGGTCCTTGCATGTCCCCTTCAAGCAAATTTGCAGCGGGGGAGCAATGGAAATCGAGGGCAAGAAGCATCAAACCCTACAATACCAAGCCACAAAGCTATAAAGCCTGAAAGTGCACAGAACCCGAAAACGGCCAAAATCATGCCGAACCCCTACTACAAATAGACACAAAGACTACAGTTGAACAAAACCCAACGACTAAAACCACGCCAACGACTGCAAAGAGTTCTGCCAGCTCCGACCCAAACTCGGGTTTTCCCAAGGCCTGCCGAGGGGGGCATGATCCGCTCCAGGTCCGCTGCGCCGCAGCGCCGCAGCGCCTGCGGAGAACGCACGCCGGGCGTCGAAGCAAGGAGCTGTTGCTAAGATGGGCTGCTTAGGAACAAGAACTTAGGTCTGTCCCAGTTTTTTCTTGAGTTGGTTGGTTGGTTGTCCAACTTGTCCTGAGTTCTTTCTTGAGTTGCTTGGTTGGTTTGCTTGCTTGATTGCTTGGCTGGTTGGTTTGCTTGCTTGGCTGGTTGCTTGGTTGGTGTGTCTGTTGTCTATGAAAGGAGGCTACCAATTTCAGCGGCCTCCACGGTGGCGCGGAGGTTGCCCTTCCCGTCGCCTTGCGAATCGGGCGGTTTTGTTCGGGCGCCGGGCCAAATCGATGGATTTCATGTCCCAGATCGATCGACTGGAAAGCATCTGGCTGTGGGTCAAAGCATCTGGAAAGACGGTTTTGGGGTAGGTGCACCACTCATTTTACTCCATTTTAGCGGGGATTGGGATGTTCACTGTGCGGAATTTTGACCCATGGCCATCTCAAGGACTGTCAGAAAGTGGAGGGACCAACATTTTCTTTGAACATCGGAGTTGATGTTTTTGATTGGGGAAATTCAGGAGAGACGGGGGATCGCCCGCATGGCTCCAGTTCGGGCCAGTGGCTTCGCCAGCCGGAGAAGATAGCCATCCAAAAGCCGGCGGCCAAACAAATGACCTCGGAGATCGGCCACTCGAACGCATCGAAGTCGCTCCGGACATGGCCGGAGTGCTTCGCAAGTTGGTTGCCCTACAAAGGGGGCAACCACCCCTGCAACGCCCACTGGCTGCAGACCATGTGGCGCCGCAACCATCTGGGTGCCGGACTCCCAGCCAAGTGGCCGCCACAAAGCCGACGGCCGCGGCCTCGGCTCGAAAACGGGTTGGAGCTCATGGGTTGCGGCTGGGTGGTTTTTCCAATTCCCCCAAGTTGAACTAGTAACTATGATGCAGCCTGGCACACAAAAAGATGCCCAGCCAAGTGCTGAAGCTTGCCGCGCGCAAACGCGTTTGCGCGAGGCCCTGGCCAGCGCGCCCGAGCGGGTCGACCAGAAGCCGCGCTCTGGCACCCTGCCTGGGAAACTGCACAGTGGGCTGTGCAGCGGCGTTCAAAGGCCCAAGGCCGCGCCGGAAACCGCGCCCTGCCTGCTGCCACTTGCTGCGCGATACTGGCACGGCAAGTGGGAAGGGTCAAGAGCGGGTCAAGGAACTGAACTGAGGTTCAAATCAGAAGGCTGTTAGTCTGGCCCAATCTGAGGCCCGTCAACGTCCAACATGCCAAGCGCTGCACAACTGCCAGTGGAGTATTGGGGCGGAGGGAAACCATAAGCCCCCCCCAGCGCCCAGTTCGCGGTTTTGCGGTTTTCCTCTCGCTTGTTGGGTCGGTTTCTCGGTTTCGCGTCTTCGTTTCCCTGGTTTCTCGGTTGGCCAAACCAAAGCTAACTTCCACATGCTTGGATTGGTTCGCTTTCGTCGCCACCTGAGCCAGAGGGGCAACCTCGGATTCAACCCGAACTAATAATCCTTGGGACCTAATTTAGACAACAAAACTCCTCAAACATAAGCAATGGTGGTTATCTCGTGCTACCGCATTGCTTGAAAATCGCAAGGCCGACTTGCAATCTGGTTGAGAAACGCCTCTTGCGGTGGACAATTCACAATTCACAAAGAGGTCAGCAGGAACGGGATACCGAGATCCCTCGGCTTCCGTTCCCAGGTCCGGAGTCCGGCAAGGCATGGCGCTCCAAGTCCGTTCCAAGCGGATTTGTGGTGAAACGTACAGCCCACACTCCCGCGACACGCATCGGATGTTGGGACAAAGCGTGGGAAGAGCGAGCCATATCTGTGAGCCGCGCTCTCGAGCAGTCTGACCCAAGTTGCTCTTGCACTCCAGTTTCTTCCGTGCGGCAGTGGACGCTCTGCTGCCAGCACGGCTGGCTGGGTGCCAGAGTATGAACTGACAATACCACAACAAACTAGAACAGGAAGTCAAAAACAATGTGCAAAGCCAAGCCAAAGCAGATTTGCGCCCGGCCTCTCGTCTGTCATTGCATGCCTTGTGTCAGCGTCAAACCTCCACCATCTTCAGATGCAAATTGCTGAACAAAGTAACTAAGTAGACCACAATAGACCACATCATGCATTGCATACCCATGCAGGGCCCTTTCTGAACTTGACAATGCATTGGCAACCTTGTGACGAGAAACTTGCACGGACCAAGGGGAATCAAACACCCCGAAATCAGCCGCACAGAATTGCACGCTCATGTGCGCCAACTCAGGGCACTGCAAAAATGCCGCCAGTGCCACAGGCGGATCTTCATTCAAACGCGCAGCACAGCCCACACTCCCCCCGCGACACGCATCGGATGTTGGGACAAAGCGTGGGAAGAGCGAGCCATATCTGTGAGCCGCGCTCTCGAGCAGTCTGACCCAAGTTGCTCTTGCACTCCAGTTTCTTCCGTGCGGCAGTGGACGCTCTGCTGCCAGCACGGCTGGCTGGGTGCCAGAGTATGAACTGACAATACCACAACAAACTAGAACAGGAAGTCAAAAACAATGTGCAAAGCCAAGCCAAAGCAGATTTGCGCCCGGCCTCTCGTCTGTCATTGCATGCCTTGTGTCAGCGTCAAACCTCCACCATCTTCAGATGCAAATTGCTGAACAAAGTAACTAGGTAGACCACAATAGACCACGTCATGCATTGCATACCCACGCAGGGCCCTTTCTGAACTTGACAATGCATTGGCAACCTTGTGACGAGAAACTTGCACGGACCAAGGGGAATCAAACACCCCGAAATCAGCCGCACAGAATTGCACGCTCATGTGCGCCAACTCAGGGCACTGCAAAAATGCCGCCAGTGCCACAGGCGGATCTTCATTCAAACGCGCAGCACAGCCCACACTCCCCCTGCGACACGCATCGGATGTTGGGACAAAGCGTGGGAAGAGCGAGCCATATCTGTGAGCCGCGCTCTCGAGCAGTCTGACCCAAGTTGCTCTTGCACTCCAGTTTCTTCCGTGCGGCAGTGGACGCTCTGCTGCCAGCACGGCTGGCTGGGTGCCAGAGTATGAACTGACAATACCACAACAAACTAGAACAGGAAGTCAAAAACAATGTGCAAAGCCAAGCCAAAGCAGATTTGCGCCCGGCCTCTCGTCTGTCATTGCATGCCTTGTGTCAGCGTCAAACCTCCACCATCTTCAGATGCAAATTGCTGAACAAAGTAACTAAGTAGACCACAATAGACCACATCATGCATTGCATACCCATGCAGGGCCCTTTCTGAACTTGACAATGCATTGGCAACCTTGTGACGAGAAACTTGCACGGACCAAGGGGAATCAGACACCCCGAAATCAGCCGCACAGAATTGCACGCTCATGTGCGCCCACTCAAGGCACTGCAAAAATGCCGCCAGTGCCACAGGCGCATCTTCATTCAAACGCACAGCACAGCCCACACTCCCCCTGCGACACGCATCGGATGTTGGGACAAAGCGTGGGAAGAGCGAGCCATATCTGTGAGCCGCGCTCTCGAGCAGTCTGACCCAAGTTGCTCTTGCACTCCAGTTTCTTCCGTGCGGCAGTGGACGCTCTGCTGCCAGCACGGCTGGCTGGGTGCCAGAGTATGAACTGACAATACCACAACAAACTAGAACAGGAAGTCAAAAACAATGTGCAAAGCCAAGCCAAAGCAGATTTGCGCCCGGCCTCTCGTCTGTCATTGCATGCCTTGTGTCAACGTCAAACCTCCACCATCTTCAGATGCAAATTGCTGAGCAAAGTAACTAAGTAGACCACAATAGACCACATCATGCATTGCATACCCATGCAGGGCCCTTTCCGAACTTGACAATGCATTGGCAACCTTGTGACGAGAAACTTGCACGGACCAAGGGCAATCAGACACCCCGAAATCAGCCGCACAGAATTGCACGCTCATGTGCGCCAACTCAAGGCACTGCAAAAATGCCGCCAGTGCCACAGGCGGATCTTCATTCAAACGCACAGCACAGCCCACACTCCCCCTGCGACACGCATCGGATGTTGGGACAAAGCGTGGGAAGAGCGAGCCATATCTGTGAGCCGCGCTCTCGAGCAGTCTGACCCAAGTTGCTCTTGCACTCCAGTTTCTTCCGTGCGGCAGTGGACGCTCTGCTGCCAGCACGGCTGGCTGGGTGCCAGAGTATGAACTGACAATACCACAACAAACTAGAACAGGAAGTCAAAAACAATGTGCAAAGCCAAGCCAAAGCAGATTTGCGCCCGGCCTCTCGTCTGTCATTGCATGCCTTGTGTCAGCGTCAAACCTCCACCATCTTCAGATGCAAATTGCTGAACAAAGTAACTAAGTAGACCACAATAGACCACATCATGCATTGCATACCCATGCAGGGCCCTTTCTGAACTTGACAATGCATTGGCAACCTTGTGACGAGAAACTTGCACGGACCAAGGGGAATACCCCGAAATCAGCCGCACAGAATTGCACGCTCATGTGCGCCCACTCAAGGCACTGCAAAAATGTCGCCAGTGCCACAGGCGGATCTTCATTCAAACGCACAGCACAGCCCACACTCCCCTGCGACACGCATCGGATGTTGGGACAAAGCGTGGGAAGAGCGAGCCATATCTGTGAGCCGCGCTCTCGAGCAGTCTGACCCAAGTTGCTCTTGCACTCCAGTTTCTTCCGTGCATGAGCTGACAAATTTACAACAAACTAACCAGGGGAACACCCAAAACCGATATCGTGGTAGTATGGCCAGTGGCTCATGCGCCACCCCTGGGCCACCCTTAGCTGAGTAGCACGCAGTCAACATCAAAAAGTCCAACACAAAAGCCAAGCCAAAACTAAAACAGATTTGCGCCAGGTCTCTCGTCTCCCGTTGCATGCCCGCGTGTCATGCTGACCACGTCATCCGGCCACCATGCATGACAATGCTTTAGCAACATTTGTGGAGAGAAACTTGCACGGACCAAGGGCAATCAGACACCCCGAAATCAGCCGCACAGAATTGCACGCTCATGTGCGCCAACTCAAGGCACTGCAAAAATGCTGCCAGTGCCACAGGCTGATCTTCATTCAAACGCACAGCACAGCCCACACCCCCCCTGCGAAACGCATCGGATGTTGGGACAAAGCGTGGGAAGAGCGAGCCACATCTGCGAGCCGCGCTCTCGAGCAGTCTGACCCAAGTTGCTCTTGCACTCCAGTTTCTTCCGTGCGGCAGCGGACGCTCTGCTGCCAGCACGGCTGGCTGGGTGCGAGAATGTGAGCTGACAAATTTACAACAAACTAACCAGGGGAACACCCAAAACCGATATCGTGGTAGTATTGCCAGTGGCTCATGTGCCACCATAGGCAACTCCCTTTGCAGTGCAACGGGATACGCCTTCCCGAGCACAAGTCACTTAACATCTTGCGAGCCCCCACAGCCTTTAAGACACGAGTCCCCGCCTCTTTGTTTCCGGCACGGCTGCCTCACAATTTCAGACGCGGAAACCCCTCGCATGGAGAATCTGATCAAGCGGGTCATCGAAAGCAATGTAACGGTGAAATCGTCGTGGGGAGTTGGATGAAGCTCGCGTGCCAAACACCAAAACAGTTGGCCACCCACCCTCAGACACAGCTCGGTATGCCGAGCTAACCACTAATTCAGACATGTGCAGAGCTTGCGCGCTCGGCGAATTTCCCCGCCTCGGCCGGAGCTTGGCCTTAGACAGGAAACGCGGCCAACCGCGCGAGACATTTGTTGCTTCCCGAGCCCTGGGCTGCTGTTGGATGGCTTCGCCTGAGAATCCAATCCCTGTCGTTCTTTCTTTCTTTCTTTCTTTCTCTCTCTCTCTCTTCCACTGGCGGCTTTTTCCCAAGTGCTTTGGCACTAGAAAATCCCAAAAAAAACCCAAAGAAAGCCCGCCCTTCTTCTTCTCCCCCTCTGCTTCCTGGGGGGGATCCCTCGCCCCCCGGGGAGTTCCATCCGATTCCGCAGCCCTGGGGCCTGGGATCGGCCCGCGGAGTTGGGCTCCATGGCCCCCACGCCGTCCTCCAACGCCGCCAGCACCTCGCCGCCGCCGTGCCCCGCCGCCCCCCCGAGAAATCTCCCACGGGTTTTTTTCCGACACGTTCAGAAGACGGCCCGGAAGGCGAGAATTCAGCCCGCCCAAGAGGGAAAAAAGAGCGCTGAAATTTCAACTTCGAAGAAGATCTTAGCCAGGCCAAAAGGCCCCGTCTTGGCCTCTGAAAATGGATTGATTCTCCGATCCTCCCAACCTTTCACCAAGCAAAAGGACTGGCAAATCCCCCCGACTTCCGCCAGGGCGCCGGATCCTCCACCACCTGGGCGGTGCCTGAGCCGGATTTCTTCCTTCCACGCGGGCGGGCGCGGCGGACTGCGGGCCCCGGCCGTTGGTGTTGAAGGTGGGGTCCTGCGCCCCAACGCCGTCCTGCAAAGCATCCAGCACCTCAGACACACCGAACGAACAGCACCGCAAGCTGCCCGGTTGGTTCCTGGTTTCAGGATGTCAACACCCCGGTTTTTGTCCAACAACCCTCTGCGGCGCGGCAGCATGGGCGTGTAGAAGGAAAAGAAGCCCAAGGCTGAAACCAAAAATAGCCCCAAAAAGGGGACTTGGTTGCTTTTTGCTCCTCTACAAGCTTTAACTTTTGCTGGCTTCATGGTTCCAACCCCCAGTTGGCAAACAGTTAACGTCCTAAAATCCGAGCAAAATGCACCAAGGGGAAGTCAGAAGGCCCGGGGCGCTGGCCGTGTCCACCGCTGCCTCGGCATCCACCACCGAGCCGTTGGTCCTCCGCGCCTGCGATCTGGGCGCCTCTTTTGAGGGACACCCGAGGGAAACCCGTTTTAAGACACCCTCACATGGCCGCATGGCCGAAAAAATCGGGGCACTGGGAGTGTTTCCTCCTTTTCTCGCTGTCTCCCAGTCTCCAACCGAAGGCCAAGGGGGGCTGTTCCGTCTCATGAGCGTCTCGCCTGCAGGGACTCCACTGCCTCCTTCATAGCAGCCATCACCTGCGAGTCGGGTCAACGCGCCTGCGATCCGTGCCCGGTCGAACCTTGGAGACGTTGGAAGGGGGATGCCACCAAAATGCAAAACAAGAGCCGCCGGTTGTGTCAACCTGACTAATGCGGATCGATCCGGCAGGCGGATGGATCCGGCAGGCGGATGGTGGAGAACTGGCTAGTGGGAGTTCGGAGCTGTCAGCTTCCCAGAAAAGGATCCTCAAAATGTCAGTCTCCAAAAACATAGCATTCCAGGACGAAACAGGGCCAATGAAACAAAACCCGCCTTGCCACACCTCATCCCCTCGCCGCGAAACCTGCTTCCACCCCCCACCCCCCCCCCGCCTGGTCTTCTGTCTCGCGCTGGGGAGCGCCTGTCGGCCGCAGCTGAAGAAGCGAAGTGTTGCCTGAGACTGGCTTCCCGTTGCTCACGCCCACTCGTTCATTTCCATCCTAGTCAGCCAAGTTGCTTTCTGCTTCTTTCAGTCACCGTTGCTGGTTTTTGGGACAAAGTGCATGGGAGAAACAAAACAGCAACTGGCGATCCAGGATGGAACCCTGACAAAAATGGACATATTGACCAAACCCTGCGGTTTTATGGTGGCTTCATTTGACCCACCTGCCATCTGTACCTCAGGGCCACGCCCTTCTCTTGCTGCTCCTGGCAGGCCGGAAGAAAGGTTCGCCAACCCATCCCTCCCTTCCACAGCTGCTCGGGCCGCATCCCGTTCTTTTTTTCCGGGCACATGTGCACGCGAATTTCTGCAGGCGGAGGCTGTGTGCTCCGCAGAATTCAAACTGGTCGGTCGCCAATGTACATCGGGTCGGCGACGGCCCCCGTGTAATTCGGCCGTTGCGGCGGCATCAGCTCCCTGATGTGAGGAGGAGGGCTCAGGTTAGAGCCGCGGACGCTGAGGAACTTTACACGCGCCCGCCGGAAAGATCAGGGCTTTGTGGGCTCACTGTACAGATGCGCAGTGCGTTGGCCTTCTGTTCTTCTGCACCTGGCAAACCCCCAAGTCTCAATCACCACTCAGATGGAAGCAGTATGGCAACTGAAAGCCCCACCTTGAATTAAGTCTTCTGCAAATTCCTTGCCCAGCATGGGCTTTGTCCTAGGCCAAAAACCACACATCACTCCTCTGAACATCGCGCACCTCAAAGCCCCACCTTCAGTTCACGCAAAGAGGTCGACTGAGGACGCCGGTCTTGGGACGCCGATTTTGTCTAAGGTGCTGCTCCTGCGCGCGAGGGCGAGGGCGCGGAATCCGCAAAGCTACGGGTCTCAGTTGTCAACTGGTGGCTTGGCTTGGATTGGATTTGGAATTCAACGCTTCCTTTTCAGATGGGGAAGGGGAACCCCCAAACCAATTTACATGGAACCGTTCGACGTTCGGGTCCTGTTTTGGACCATTTCCCGGTCCGAACCGTCAGGTTCCATGTGAATTCACCGGCTAGAAAGCCCTTGACTTCAAACCCATCTGGCCATACGTCAAAATTCCGTCCCGGTGAACATCAACCAATCCCTAAAATAGGCTCTAACATGGGTGAATGAATTCACCTACCAACCAAAATGGGAGAATGACCAAAACGGTTTTGACCACCACAAGCCTTTTTCGGTTTCGGCGTCGCTCACCCCCCTCCCCCCAACCCCCGAAACCCCCAACCCCCCGAACCCCCTTTCGGTTTTGGCGTCTCTTCCCCCCCCCAAACCCCCGAAACCCCCCGAAACCACTTCACCACAGCCATCTGCTTCCAGCGATGCAGCGTTGGTTGCACGCGCGCTCGGTCCCTCGGACATGACGGGGCGGGGAGCGGGGAGTGGGGAGTGGGGCGGCCTCCTCTTTGGCCTCCTCCATCTCCAGAAAGGTCCTCCGCACCACGAGCTTGGGCTCCATGGAAGCCGCCAGGCGCGCCTCCAAAACGTGGCCATTCGGGCGTGAAGCACAACGACACATTTTGGCGGATACACTTTGTGTGGCAATTGACGAACGCCAAGCGGAAGTTGCCCTCAAGCCAAGTAATCTGGAACCCGACGTGCGGGATCCGGTCCCTAGGACCTCCGTGCGAAAAAGGCGGGAGGCGGTATACGTCCCATGAAAAAAGAAAACAACTGGGGGTAGCCCACTAGGTCACCATATAAAGGATCAACATATCCCACGCAACTCCAGGAGCTTCACAGGCGGCTTCGGAGGGGGGCGGGGGTGAGCCCATTTTGGGGCCCCACCTGGAAGTCCCCCTCCGCCGAGTCGGCCGTGAACTTGGGCGCCACCTCCTCGTGGATCCCCGGCGCCCCGCTGCCCCCGTTGGCGTGGCGGTACGCGGTCTTCTGCAAAGGATAGACCACCAAGAAGGCCTCCCGCGTGCGGTCCCAATCCTCGCGAGCCAAACAAAGCCAGAGGCCCCTTGCACGATCTTTAGGTCTGATCTTTGGTTCTTCTGGCGTTTTTTTGTCGCTGCTTCCTTTTTTTGGTTCCCTTCTTGGGGCCCCCATACGGAGGCCTATGGCAACAGCACAAAAACTCACAGCCCACAGCAACCGCAGCAACCGCTCGCTCCTGCAGTAGAGAGGTTGGAATAAGGGTACCATTTTTTTTATGTTGTCTATTTTGGTAGGTTTGAACCCTCCCAACCAAAAAATAAACGGTGAGAAAGGGCACCTGTTGCTGCTTTTCTCCATCTACTTTACCCCCAAAACACCAGCCACAGTGACTGGGAACACAAAAAGCCACTTGGCTATCTAGGTAGGCTTGAATTTGCCCAACCAAAAAAAAAAGGACACGGTGAGAAAGTTGGCACCTCGCTGGAAAACACCTCATCGTTTTCCTGCTCCCCCGCTTCATAGCAACTCCTCTCCTCGCGGGAGATGACGCACTGGTAGGGCACCAGCTGCTGGCCGTCCAAAGTCTCGAAGGTCTGGACTTGGTGGCCCAGCCGCGCCAGGAACTCCTGGATGTAGCGCGCCAGCTGGAACTTCTTGGCCCCCAGCGCCTGAAAGAACAAAAACGCGGGCGGAGAGAAAAAGACCACGGAAAAGCCAAGCCTGGGCCCTTTGGGGGCCCTCTTTTGGGACAGCTGTGATTCTATGGTCACTTCTTTCTTCTGTTCTCTCTTGCTTTTTTTTTTTTGCGGGGGGGAGGGAGACTGGGGCTAATTAGGAAGGGGGAAAGCAATGCCAAAGCTGAAAGATGGCAACAAAAGCCTCTGACCCAAAGGCTCCCAGGTGTTTGGAGGTTGCTTGAGGCCCCATAGGCCCCCAAAAAACAAACAAACAAACAAAACAACAAGAACTGACGCCTCTGGGTCGAAGCACCCCCCCGGCCCCCCGGCCCCCCGGGGCCCGGGCGGCGGGGTCGAAGCGCACCCACTGCGCGAAGCCGAAGGCCTCCCCGGCGTCGATGGCCGTCACGGGGACCTCCCCGGCCACGGCCGGCAGCAGCGGCATGCCCCGCTTGAAGCTCTGGATGGACAGAATCACGTAGAACCACTCCTAAGGAGCTCTCAGCGAAATTAGGTCACCCAATGTCACACGAGTCGGAAAAAGGTCATGGGGATGGGGAAACCAAACAAATCCACGGCACTCGGCTGAGTCGTATGGGGAGCTGAGTCACTCAGTCAGAACCAAACCCGTCAGGTAGTCAGGGGGGAATCCATGAGAAACCCCAGGTTAGTCAGTCACTTGGCCTCTCAGTGACTCAACCACTCGGTCAGTCATGCATATGGGGCAAAAAAATCCACGTCACTCATGGGGAAACAAATGTTTACTTATTTATTTTTCCCGGGAGTTGAGGCTCAGTCATGTCACTCAGCTCAGTCACTCATTCACTTCACATCATGCGCGCCAGGGGACACGCAAATTTGCCGGGAGGGGGAAGGGAGGGGAATCCATTATAAAATGTTGGGTTGGTCAGTCACTCGCTATCCTTGGCCCCGGTCGAAACACCCAAGGAGCCGAGAAGCCGCGAGAAAGAAGCAAAACAGATCCCAAGCACCCGGCGCAGGCCGAGCCGCGTCCACCCGCCGGAGCTCATCGATGCCGGGGCGGTTCAGGAACCTGTGAGCGAAAACGGCCATGCAATTTGCTTCGCATGCGGAAAAATATATGGCCATGGGTCAAAATCCAAATCGTACCCCCAGTGAACATCCCCATCCCCACTGACATAGGTTCTAAAATGGGTGGTAAGAATTCACCTACCCCAAAATGGAAATTTCCAAAACGGTTTTGACCACCACAGCCATTTCTCTGTTTTGGCGTCTCCAAACCCAAAAAAAAACTTGTTAGCAGGCTGCTTGTGGGTGTTCGCGTCTCTCTCCTCCCCCCAACCCCCCTCCCCCCCATCCCCCGCGCCACTCCGCGGTGGCGCGTGCAGACCGCAACGCGGCCCCGAAGTGCAGCGTGGCCCAGGAGGCGAAGCTCTCCGCGGGCACCTCCCGCGCGCCACGCGCACGCCCGAGCGCGTGATGCGCGTGATGCGCGCCGAGGGTAGGCATAGATGATTGAAGCACCAGGTAAAGATTGCTATGACATGTATCTATTTGTTCTTTCCTCAGAGAGAAACAATCACTCCTTGTTTTTTGAAAATCGATGGCCCTGGTAGATGAGGTAAACCACCAGGGCCTTCTCTATTCTTTGAGCAAGGCAAAAAGGACATCGTTGTCTCCCAATGTCTTGGGGGAATCATTCAGCACAGCCCTCCCCAGAAAATGGGCGTGAAGTCATTCGGAAACCGACGGTGGATGGTTGCGAAATCCGGCAATCGCACCGTTCAGAACCATGATGATTCAGATGCGCTTCAACATTCGTACACCCAGAAAGAAGTGTGATGGCTTCACCCATGGTTTCATTTCGCGCGCAGGGACTTCGCAACCATCCACAGGATTTCGCAAGTGAGGTGACATCATTCATCGCTTTTTCCTGGGGATGGTGTCAGGTTCCATGCCCGAGGCACCCTGAAGACGACGTACGTGGTAAAGAAGTCCTCTCGCTCGGGGCGGGTGAGGATGAAGCCCTGGTAGCGCCCATCTTGGGAGTGGTAGGTGCAGGCGCTGTCTCCGCGGAAGGGATAGTTGGGCCGCACCTGAGGAAGCTGTTGCTTTTTGGTCTGGACTCACCCATCCGAAAAAGACCGGGATCCCACCCGCCTTCTGGTGGAAGCACGCAGGGCAGTCGCACAAGCAGTTCATCACCTGCTTTGGAGAAAAACCAAAACGCAGCGGAGGACGGGATTTTCTAGATCTCCGGCCTGGCTAATGTCCCCGAAGAGGACGCTGCAAATGCGCACCGCGCTCCAAGAAATGGATCCTAAACGCGCAAACATCCCCGGCGGCAAACGCATGATCCGTGCGCAGGCCTTGCACGATGGCGTCCCCGGGGGCAAGGAACTGCACGCCGTCCACGCTGGTGCCGCAGATGGGGAACCTCGCACGTGCCGAGCAACCTTTGGGGCCCAAATCGGAGTCGGAGTTCAGACGAGCCGCTTCTGATGCAAGAAGGAGCGCACCTCCGGGCGCACCATGACACGGCTCGAGTTGGCCGGTGCGTTGTGCACCTGACGCAAAAGGTACCCGGACCGCAGAAAGAATCCTCATGGCCAAGCACTTGCCGGTATTAGGCCCAGTGCTTTGACGCTGTTGAGCTCGAACTTGATCAAATAGCCGCCTTGGGGCACAGGCAACTTGAGACCTGCGTGACAGGGTTCCCTACGACACCCCTGTGAACATCATTTACCAACATTGCCGTGTTCCCTCTCTGTTTTCTTTCAACCCCCCCCCCCACCAAAAAAAAAGAAAAAAGAAGAAGACAAAACCGGTCATGGTCAGGTGCCCCCCCCCCCCCGTCTTTCCCCTTTAAGACACGGGTCATCGGGGCTTGGGGGGGGCTCAAACGCATGCGTCGGCGTTTCGAAGCTCCGAGGCGCCCCAGGGGCAAGGCCGGTGGCTCAGGGAGCCCTCAGGTCTGCGCAAGGCTTCGGCCCAGCCCCGCTCCAGCAAACCCGGCACCAGCTGGAACCAGTCCTCTCCGATCTCCGATCCGACGGCATGTGTTTTGCCTTGTTTTTCATGCTTTTCGATCCAACCATGTTTTTTTTCCATGTTTTTTTTCTGCCAGAGAGAAAGAAGGAAAAGCTCGGTCCTGCCATTCAAAACTCCGATCCGACGGCTGTTTTTTGCCAGAGAAAGCGGAAAAAGGACCAGGCGGAGTTCGGAATGGTCAAGGAAACCCGTGGTAACAAAAACAAAGGGCCTCACATGGTGTGTCAGGCGTGGTTGTTTTCCTTTGCTTTGAAATCGCTAGGCCATCACATCCTGGTGTGTCAGGATCAAACCAGAAGTCAGGAGCAAACTTGGACTGAAAAACCGGATGACCGGATCTTCGGAGACGAATGGACCCAGGATTTGGGCCGGGGCACGGGGCAAAAAGATAAACCGCAGCGAGTACAAGAACCACTTCAAAGCCCCACAAGTGCATGGGAAGATCCGGAAGGACGCCTTTTTCGGGAAGCCGTGCGCTTTGGCCATCACCGGCACTCCCCCAGCCCATGACTTCCCCGGGCGGGCGGTCGCTGACCGCTTGAGTCCTCAACGGCCTCAGGTCGCATCGCCATTGGAAAAACTGGCGCGAAAAAATCCGCTCGAGCCGAGTCCTCTGAGCTGCGGGAGGCAATTTGTGTAGCACTTCGCTCGGTCGAGCGGGTGGTCTCCCTTGGACCTGTATCCTGCTTGGCTTGGCTTCGCGCCTGCCTGGGATTCTTCGTCCCAATTCCTTTTTTCTTGGTTTTGGGCGCGGCTCCTGTTTTTGAGGGCTTCCCCCTGGTGATTCTATAGGGGAAGAGGAACGCAGCAATCCATTTCCCGGTCCGATTGAAAAGGAACCTCCGAGCTCTCCGAACTGCGGAGAGTTTCTTTCGAGTTGGGGCTTGTTACGGTTCTAGGGAGCGTAGGCCTTTTGGAAAAAAAGACGGCCCCGGTAAATGGAAGTAGACCCATCCAATTTTACTGCCATGGCAGGGCCATCTAGGTTTAAACCCAAAAAGGATACCTATGTTACTGAGCTGTCCTCAGATCCCTTGCTAAAAGTTTAACTTTTAGTGGGCTAAATGGAAAACCCCACTAAAAAGCAAAAAAGCTAGGGGGATGACTGGGACCCACCAAGGTCAGGAAGCCTTAAACAAAAATCCCCCCCCCCCCCCAACCACCCCAGACCACTTTTCCGGAAACCTCGAAGATCTCCGTCATGCTGTGCTGAGTCTTCAAGGCGTCGCCTCTCGAGCATCTCGGGCATGAAACAAATCGAGGCTCTTGGGGTTGAACCTCTGGCAGACCCCGCAATTCCTTGTTATAGGGAGAATGTCCCGTTTTGAAACCCAGATGAAACACACCCACATCCAGGCTCGGACGCTCCTGTCTCGGTGTCCACGCTCTTGCCGGGCTGCATCGACCTAAGCGCACCGCTTGCGCTCGCTTGCGTCCCTCGCGTGCGCAAAAATCGCTCACCGAGTGCCCGGTGACGCGCGTGACGCCCGCGTCTCTCAGCGCGACACGAGCCCACTTGGAAGAGGCTCGGAGCTTCCTCACGACCTGACCGGTTTCTGAGCTCCATGGTCACCGCATGTCACCCCATTCCGCACAAATGTCGCAGGCAGAAGCCGACGCATGGCGGGAGACTGCTGATTGTTGTTTCACTCATCCAGGAAAGCCGCAGGAGATACCAAAGGAAATCTGCCAACACCCTTACTTCTACTCGTTTGAAAACCATTGCGCAAGCGCGCCACGCTTGGAACGCCCCATTCCTCCCCCGGTTCGAATCCAGCGCGAAAGGCCCACGGGCCTCGGGCCCAGCCCTGGCCACGGACAAGAAACGGGAGCCCTCCGCGCGGGATTTTTCAGCGCGCCCCAGCCTGCGCAGCCCTGCGGCACTCTTCGTCGCCTGTCAAAACCGATCGGGAGGAAACCCCGCAGGAAACCGCCGCGCCAGCCGCCGCTGGAATGGACGCAGCAGCAGAGCAAAGCGACCGCCGCTTTTGGCGCGCGGCCGTGGTCTTGAAAAAAACACGGGCACTAAAGCTTCTTCATCCAGCTCTTGCCTTCAAACCGTCGGCAAGTAAACTGGGTAGAAGCGCAGGACTGGATGTCTTCCGGATGCCGGAACTTGCCGCACCACTTGCACCACTCAGGCGGGTCGCAGTCCTCAATTTCCCGCCGAAGGCCCATATCATAAAGCCGCCCAACGAACTCCTTCCAATCTCCAGTTGGGTTCCATGCTTTCGTGGACTGCTGGATCCTTCCTATCTGGACACCATTGTGGCCCCGAATCTTGGCAGCTGAGTTCTGAATCTGCACGCGCGCTCCTCGCCTATCTGCGAATTCAATGATGTCCTGGCTGCTGAGCAGCTGCGTCGCAGCCCAGTCAAAGAACGCGGCCCTCTCAGCGTCAGCCTCTGGCTCGCTCCCGCCCCGGTCTTGCTGCATGTAAGCCTCCAGCTGCGCCTCATCCAAGTACACAGAGGCTTCCTCCAGAACGATGGTCGCATCTTCCAGAGAGATGGTCGCATCGCTCGCGAGTTCGAGAAGCGCCAACTTCTCCCGCAGCAACGACTCCAGCTGGGTGTGGTCCGATCCGCCCTGGTCACTCCACCAGATTGCATACCCAAGAAGGTCGTCAAAGGTCATCGTTCGTGTGCCGCTGGTGCAGAAGCCCGCACGTTGCCCTGCTAGAGGTGGGGCACGTGCGTGCAGCACGCGTCTTTGCGCTGGGAGGCGGTCGCCCACCTGCGTCGCTTTTGGACACACCCAGCCACGCATCAGTGACCGCAGTGCACGTGGCACGCATGAGCTCTGCAACGCCCGCATCGGGGCGCAGAAATTTCACCGAAACTGGCAATGGTGCAATGCACTCGGCTGCGGGTCCTGCAAGAGTACAAAACCTAGGCTTTGATCTGCCTGAACTTGCGGAAAGAGCCGCCGCTTATTCGAACGGCTGAGGGCGAGGCAGCTGTGGCCGAAGCTCTGCAATTGGCTGCTGGGACCCAGCAAGATGCCCTGCGCTGAAGCACCGAACATACAGCCTTTGCCACTTTAGGCTTCAGGGGTTTCGGGTCAGCGCAACGGCCCAAATCAGTCAGCCCCCAGCCTGAGGCTTGGCCTGATGCAAATTTCAGTTATGAGTCATGAGGTTTGAACATGCATCTCCTTACCCGTCCATTCCCAGCTGTCAGTGGGCAATCCCCGCAAATCCCAGCATGGCGCAAAACATTAGCAAGCTGGACACTTCTCATGCACACAGGCAACCTGCGTGACCATGGGGTATGTCTGAAAGCTGGGTGGGACGTCCAAAAATAGTGGCCCTGCTTGTGGTTGTCCTTCGGCACTCGCCTCATGAAGGCGTCCCCAGGTCTGAGCGTGCGGGGACCTGGGCTGAATCCCATGGTTCAAATGCCGAGGGCGTCATTTCTGTGGATCTTTGGTTCAGGTCTCTTTGCACCGAATTCCGTGACTGCCCGGGCTGTCCTCAGAACCGCAAGTTGAGCTTCCAGGTGAAATACGGAACTCCCACCACGAAACCAACCCCAATGGCTGGGGACCATTTCTTGCGGAGGCCTCGGTTTCTTGCATCCTGGGGCCCGGACAGGCCAGATGCACACACCACGCCTCGGCGCCACATCTTCGGGCCATCCGGGCGTTCCGGTGTTTGGTGTTTTATTTCAGGGCACCCTCGGACCAACCACCTGTTTTGGGAGGGATCCCTTCCCCCCCCCCCCCAAAAAAAAGAAGAAGAAAAAACAGAAAGAAAGAACAACTCACGTCCCGAGGTTGTTGCGAAGCTCTTGGTTCCTTCACAAAGCCAAGCTCGATCCGTGCGCGGTGCGTCCCGGCGTCTGGGCGCGCGGCTCAGGAAGATGGCCCAAGGAGCCTGGATCGTGGGGGATGGGGGTGGGGGCCCCTTCAAAAGTGAGAGGATCGCTCAAGCCAACACCCCCAAATTCATAGATCATTCCGGGGTCAACATCTCTGTGAAGGTCGGACGTCCGACCTCCCAAGCCGCGGCCTGAGATATGGAGCCGCCGCGCGGGGCGCTGGCCTCAAGGCGAATCGACGAACAAGGCGAGGCCTTAGCGAAGCGACTGAGCTCCGCGGCGGCGAGGGTATTCAGCCTCGGACTCCCGAGCCCCGAGCGCGTCGAGCGCGTCGACTGCGCTTCGTGTTGCAAACAACCGCATGCGATATCGGACGGGAGCATGCCGCCCAAGCATGCAAATCAAAAGCAGTTCAAGGTCAAGTGCGGCGCGATGGGGCGGACAGTCAAACTCCGCTGGCTCAAGTGAAGTCTCCCCCCCCCCTTCACCCCGGCTGGGCAAAGTGGCCGCTGCATGCTTTCGCTAAACCGAGGAAGTTGGCGCCGGGTGAAGTCCGCGGACGCCTCGGCGGACTGCCGAAAACGTGCCCGCGCGCTCATTGTTCGCAGTCCCACTGAACCGAACCATCGAAGCGAGGCATTCATTCACCCTGTGAGCCCAATAGTACTTAATGAATTTATGGCCGAAGTATTCACCCATATTTGGCTTGAATCCTTCGACTTCAGCCACCTCAAAAGCCGAAGCTCCTGCAGAGACACTGTCACTGAGGCCACCACGCCAAGAGTAAAACTATGGCGTGAGTCGGGCGGGGCCCAAGGGCCCGTCCGGCTGTGAGCCACGTGCAATTCGCATCCCAGCCCTCGACCCGCAAACACTGCAAGGGAAACCACTTCATTACTTGGGGTTCACCATGGCTCACCATCCTTAATCCAAGCAGCACGGGCAAACACCTTTTTTGGGTGCGTCGCGTGGCCGCCGCGCGTCGTTCGCATCCTCGCGGTGGAAGTTGCCACCCTGCGCATCTTTTCACGGCTTGCACCGAGGCCGACTTGCCCGCGGCTGGTTTTCAGAAGGGTACTGATCTGTTGGTGCTGCCGCAAACCCGAAAGGAAGCCAATCCTTTGCGGTCCCATCCAATTCAGGGCAACCTATGTTCAAACAACAGGCCCCTTTCACAACAAAAGCCACAAAAGCAACATATTTGCCTCTTACAAATTTGTCACGGCGGAAGAAACCTGGCAAGCTGGCAAGGGCAAAGCTGGCGATCTTCTGTCTATGGCATCGCTTCGTTGATGCGAAAGGGTTTGAAACAGTATTTCGGGAGAGAATAAACAGGCCCAATCCCACCAACAAGAAGAGATTGTTTAAGTCCCCCAGTCCCAAGGGCAAAGCGGTGCCCCCGGCTGGCACAACAAACGAACCAAACAGGGTGCCTTTTACCAAAAGATGAATGAACCCAGCAAGGGCAGAGACAAGCGAAAGCGAGCACAAAGCAGCAAACCAGGCAGGCAAACAAAGCAGCGAAGCAAGCAAAGCAAACCAATTGCGCGCCGTTCCCAATTACAATCCCCGACCTACCTCCGCCAACAGGACCAACCACCAGCACACGGCCCGCGCGGTTCCCCGAGAGCGAGACGTGGCACGATGCCGTTTTGTCCGTGGCGACGAAGTAGCAGGGCGTATTGCCGGAACGAATAGCTTGAGCCAAATGGCGCATTGGCCATGGCAATGAGCAACCATGCTATGATAAAAGTACATGCCCCCGAAAACACCCCCCTCGACTGTACAAAGAGAAGGAGTGAATTTGGAAAGGCGCATTGGCCATTTGAAGTTGAATAGCACCAAACAAGAAAAACAAAGCCGATTAGGCTACCAGGGTTCGCGACCCCATACCCGGGCACTCATTGGTGCCCGGATCCCGCCACCACCCCGAATTACGGGTATGGGGCGGATTCGCGCCGGTAGCCAAATCAAACAAGAGAAAGCAACAGAAACAGAAACAAAGATCCAACTCCAGAATGGCAGGCATGAAATAAAAATACATTTGCAATGCAACCACAATGAACCGTAAGGTTCAAGTGGATTTAGTCTCTGAATTCATGATTTGGGCGCTTTGGCCTATTGGTTGAAACATGGTGCTTCGACCACAAGACCTTGGTCTTTAAAGTAGCACCGTCTAGGCGCGCGATCACGCAACGACCTTCGGCAGGAGTACCACCAGCTGCAATCAGCGGTTCAGGTCCGAGTAGGACCTCACCGGCAGCGGTTCGGCGCATCCGTGATCCTCACCGCAGCACCTTGATGGGTTCCATCACCAGCAGCAGCAGCGGTGCTGGATGATACCGACCACCAGCAGCCGTAGACGCCGGCGAGGGTAACTGCCTTGCTGTGACGACGCACACCTGACAGGTCATCGCAGCTTGCGCGAATAGCGCACAGCCACGCATGCAATTAAATTCTGGAGTGGCGAATAGCCGAAGCATTGAAATATGGCAAGGAGCATAGTCCTTCCGGAAAACTCCGGAATAAAAACATGCGCGCGTTGGCGCAGTCGTGCAACAATAAATAAAAACGCATGGGCAGACTTCAGGCATCACCGATGTCTCCCACCGCCGTGCCGCCCCTTCCCCTTACTGACATTCCAGTCCCCAGGGGGGGGAGGCACTGTCTCGGCCAGCTCGTCATCGTCACCCCAGGTAGGGGTGTGCGGCGAGTTCGGATTTTCGAACTCGCGGGGATCACCCTGCATATGCGCCTGCCAACCCTGCGGCATTGCGCCAGGCCACATTTGTGGCATCATGCCAGCCATGGGCTGTTGCATGTATCCTCCCATTGGGAAAGCAGGATACATCGGACTCGGGAACGGGAAGGGGGCTGCCTGAGCACCCTTGTACCCCGACCCGCGAGCATCAGGCTGATACCCGCCAGTGGGAGTTCTCGATCTGGCGGATCCGCCGCGACCGAACTGCCCTTGTTGGTAGCCGTATTGGCCACCCTTGCCTTTGTACTGATCACCCTTGTGACCCTTTCCCGGGAACTGGTCACCCTTGTGACCTCCGCCCTTGGGCCAGGACTGCGCAGGGGCTTTGCCCTTTTGCTGATCTCCCTTTGACCTGGATTCAGGTCGCGGGGTAGCAGACCGTTGGTCTCCCCTAGGAGTGGCTGCCCGCCTGTGGTGCTTCCCAGCCGGCGGGTCAGCAAAAACAATGGCGCATTGGCCGTCGCGCCGTGCAGCGGGGACCATGTCAACCTTGTTGTCTTCGACATAAATGTATGCCTCAGCATACTCAATTGGGGCCGTGATGGATCCACCACTGGCCCGCAGAGAGTCGATACTCCAATCAAGAACAGTGGAGGCATCGAAACTCGGATCCTCACTGTTGAAGTCCGCGAGGCGTCGCTCGGCCTGTACCAATGACATTATGATGTCCGCTCGTGAGGCGCCTAGGCCATACAGCGGAACCAAATATCCGTCCTCAATTCCGATGCGGTAGGCATCAAAAATATGCACTGAGAGGTAAAGGGCAAATGCTGAATTTAGACTGCCCTTTCTCGTCATATGACGACCCCATTGCGCCGCCTGTTGCGGGTGCTCGATCAAATATGTAAAAACAGACATATTGTCGGGAATCGAGACGCCAGTATTGCTCTCCTCGATGAGCAGCTGTTTCGCTACCCACCGCTCGAGAGCCTCATCACTCGCACGCACACAAGCGTGAGTGTCCTTTGAGGTGACCTTTGCAACCTCCTGAAACGCAACTTGCACAACATCCGCATTGGGATTGTGCACAAGGTGCGGCGCACAGCGCAAACCGGTGATCATACAGCTGACCACCTCGCGGATCGGGTTTACCGATGCCATGAGAGGAGCCCACGCGTCGGTCTCCCCTTCATACCAGCTACTGGCACGGACTGCTTTGAGTCTGTCTAGCCAGATTGGCTGCCCATTCTTAACCAGAGAACGGACGGTGCCTGGCACCCATTCACGATAGAAAATCGGCAGATGGCAACCATTGCATAGAATGGTGCCATACATGTTCAAATGCGCGCACCGAGGACACCAGTAGTCATGCATGGGAGCATTGTCCCACGAAAATGACACCCCTCTCGGCGGTCCCTGAACATTCAACTCACGAACCGCCCAGGGACGGATGTATATTACATCCCCTTCCTGGTGCAGATAGCATGCGCGCCAGAAGGGTGCATGTATCTCTTCCCGCACGGCACTCAAACCGCGTCGGGTTTTATAGATGCCGGCGGCTTCCTCGATGGCCATCCACTTTAGGTCAACGGCCACAACGACATGGCGCTTGTCCATGTATTTGACGCGATCGTCAACATAAAATTCGCCCTCATTATTGGGGCTGGGCAACTTGAGGAGAGGCACCTTTGCGCCCTCCATCCCAATCATGATCTCCCCCCTGCAGACCTGCTCAGGTCGCATGGGGAAAACTGTGATGGCGAATTTGCCAGGCCTCCGAATGCACCTCGTTTTGAGGGCGGACCGATACTCGGCCATCGTCAGCAGCACGTATCCCGTATAAGGGACTTCAGCTGCTCCCATCGGCCTAAGCAATGGCCCGATAGGCGTTCGGTCACGCAGTGCCCAACGCTTGAAAACTTTGAACGGCACGTCCCTCCCGATTAGGGTGGACCGCGCAAAAAGCACCTCATTCGGGCGCACAGTCGTGCCATCTGTCCTCCAGACTGTCCGTATTAGGAGCTCGACTGGAGGGTACGTTGGGCTCTCCTTCGCGAGAGCGCCCGCCCAGGTCGCCACCTCGACACTCGTGCACTTATGGATCCCGTATAGGGCCTCAAAGAGCGTTGAGATTAGAGTCATCGACATCCAACCTCCCAGAATGTCTGGAACCGTCCCACATAAGAAGGGGGGCTGCTCACCGGGCTTCACATTCAACCGCGTTGGGTCAGTGTTGCCCGACAAAATTTCTAACAGCATCTGCGACTCTCTGGAGCTTCGTCCAGCCATCGCCGACACATCCTTAATTTCGGGGAAAAAATGGAAGATGTCGTTACCGGCAGGACAGGCGATTCTGCCTGCTATCCCGCTCTGTGCATCAATCACAACCTCCTCACCCTCGTATGTGAGGTTGTAGGTGCTCGAAATCGGGCACACACCGGGCTTTGCCATTAGTGCCTCTTCCAACGACGCACCTGTAGGGAGGACGCCCTGTACGTGCGACTTGGTACCTATGGGACCAGTACTCGCGGACATAAGCCGATAATTTTCGGCACGAAAGTATGGAAAAAGGTTCTTCATCCTTTCAATTTCCTCTTCAGTGGTACGCCACGCCTTTGCCTCATAGTAAGGCGGCTCCTGCTTTGAGGGCACTAGGTCGCGGTCGCCCATTGATGAGAATTTGTCCACATATGGGCCCATCCCATCATCATCTACGTGACTCTCGTGATCTTCATCCGAGACGTACTCCTTGGGCGGCTCGCCCAGAGCGTCCAGATCGACCTTACCAAGGTCGACCAACGCCGGAGAATCCAGGACTCTCTGGATCCTCATGAGCTCGTTTCGAAACTGCTCAAAGCCTCCGGCCCTGTCAATCACGGAGGTCGGCATTGCGCCCTC